GCCCCCCCCCCCCCCCCCCCCCCCCCCCCCCCCCCCCCCCCCCCCCCCCCCCCCCCCCACAAAAAAAAAAGAAAGTCCCCTCCGTTTGTTTCAGATCTTCTCTGGCCCACGACCGTGTCGATCATCCGCTGGACAACCAACCAACCAACCGATCTGCCCCAACTCCAACCCCAAATCGCATCACCACCAGTGACTCATCCCTCTTCATACCCGGCACTTGCAGATATCTGCATGCGGGCGGAACCTAACCTACGGACTAATACCTACCTACCTGTCGGTGAAGCTTTATCAGACGGGCATCGTGCTACTGAACGTACATGGTGTACTCACTACTTGCTGTCGTGCGCAAGGTTATGTGATGTGAGATGGGGACGGATTTCAGGTGAAGGTAGGCATAAGTGAGTCATACGTAGATGGATGGCTAGCTACATAACATCACAAACTATACATGTACACTGCACTAGTAGTAATGAGAAGGCTGGGAGAAAAAAAAAATCACTACCGTATAGTAGCCTCTTTCATGCGCTCTCTAGATGTGATGTGATCCCGATCAGTATCGAACGCCATGTGGCTGGTTAGTTGGCAGTGAGTCAGCGAGGAAAGAAACAACTCCATCAATCACTCAATCAATCAGTCAAATCACTCCTACCATCACCAGGAAACAGATCTAATCTGCATGTAACCTTTTCTACTGTCACATATTTTTGCGAGCGAGTCACATCCAGAAGGGGGTATCATCCATTGGTCAATCAGCTACTAAGCCTAGCCTTGCGGAACAAGCAATCCGCGAAACCCGTACAAGTGCGCACCCATCGCGAACAAATCACAACCACATCAGACGTTGAGGCGTGCATCGACTGCTCTGCCCATCACATTCACCCCGTCAATTCCAAAACCCATCCTCCCCGCTTAGCTAGTTCCCTACATAAAAAAAAAGCCCAGCCAGACAAAGACCATCTCGATAGGGACCAAGGTGGTCATGACGAAAGGTGGAGGCCCAAAAAGGGCCGGCGACGGCCGCAGGAGACCGGTTCCCATCGACCGACTTGGGATTCCCATCGTACGTCCCTGGGAAATCAGGCTGCCGGCATGCGCAGAGGCACCGAGCAAGCCGATTCGCCAATGATGGCCCGCCAGAGCTAGAGCTAGAACACTGCCACTACCTTGAAACCCTACCCGTACGTACGTACGCAGTAGGCCCAAGAGCAAAAGACTACTCGCCGCTCACGCCCGCCCCCGAAGCGCCGGCGCACGTAATCGGCCTTCCCAACGGGCCTTTGTCATGCGTGAATCTGGTAATGGACCGTCATGGAAGTTGGGCAGCGGCAGCAATACGTAATTGTCTATATTAATGTCTCCGTGGGCTGCCTCCCGAGATATCTTGATTCTCTACACTCGCTGAATTGAATTTTCTGTTGGGTGGGCGAGGCGCATTGAACTCCAACGAACAATGCTGGTCACCTGACGCGGGGTAGAAGCCGAAACAACGCCCACGTTGAGAAACAAAGCAGCCATGTGACGTGGCAGCCAGGCTGACGGTCTCTGACCTATCATGACAGACCCGGGGCATTCGCCATGACTGCGACATGCGGTATAGAAGTCTATACCAATATGTCTTACTGTACACCGTTGACTGCTGTTGCTTCACCCATGGCGCTAGACTCGCCTCCATTGCTCGCTGGTGGATTCTTACCCATCTCAGGTATGCTTGGCGGAATAGAACCCGAGAGCCAGTGCGCTTGAGCGATTGGTGATGCACCGAGAGGAGCATCATGTAACTTCCTCAAGGCCCTCTTGATACCCTGTAGCCGCTCGCGTTCGATCAGCAACATACTCCTCGCGAATTCCTTGATGGCCTGCCGTCCCATGCGCTCGTGCAATTCCTGCCAACCAGCTAATTCGCTAGCCACAGTCTGCTGCGTGTAGCGAAGCTCCTTTGAAAGATCATCCAGCTCAACCTGAGTTCGCCTGGCTCTCTCTTCTTTCTCTTCGTTAATGCGCTGGCGTGTCTCGTCTAGTAAGCCGAGAGGCCATCTCGTAGAGCGCGATACCGAGTTATAGTTGCGTTCGATGGCTTTGCGGGCCAGGCTGATCTGCGCTATGAGATGCGGCGGCCGTGACAACGCTGTAAGCATGGCTTGAATCGTGGATTGCAGTGCCAAGATCGAAGCATGGAATATATGCTGTGGATTTGTGGCAGGTGGTGCGAGTGTCTTGATGTAAGTCTCCACCGCGGTAGTGTGAGTGGGCGGCAGAAATGCGAGTGTAGACACCATGCGGGACATCAAATATGCAGCATCATATAGGTCTGTGTCTCTCTTATTAGCGCACTGCTTCTTTTTGCTTCTAGATTACCACCTCTAATCAACATACCGTTTGTGGCGACTCCAACTGCATTGATCCTGCGCGCAAGTGTCTTCGTAGCGTAATTAACACCACGAACTGTCTCGCGCGCATGGTCCACGAATTGCTCTACCTCGTGGGTGTCCTCCAATGGTTCAAATTCATCTCGCACTCTTTCCACTCTTGTTTCCGCTTTCAAACGACTTCGCTGTTCCATCATATCTGCCTGGAGTTCTGGGACTAGAAAAAATTCCCATAGCATTTCATGTGTCGCGAACGTAGGGTGTGATAGCATGATCTTTAAGAAGGCGTTGGTACGCATTTGTATGTCCCTTAAGACCGCCCGTGATGGCTTAGAGGGAATCTGGAATGGTGATCGTTGACTCGTAACTTTAGGAATCCACGATGCCGGGTTCTCCATAGATAGCAGGGTAACAAGATGCTCAAACTCGAGTGTTGAGCGTCGGCAACTTGTCACTGTGTAGCAATTTTGTTCTGCAGGGGCGCCCGATTTCAATACTAGCCGGATGGTAGCATCTTCCACAAAGAATGACCGGACCACGCCGGTAATCCGACCATCAGAGGCAGGTGTCATGGTGAATAAAGCCAGGTCGTCGATGCGATTCCGAACCTCGTCATCTTTTGCGAGCTCTACAGCTGTTAATCCACGGGCCTCTCTAACTGCGACATCTACCCTCCTGTCAGAATAGAGGGTCCGCACCATGTCGAAACGCCCATATTTACTTGCGACCATCAGTGCGGTAAATCTCTTTTCGTTGGTAGCGTTCACGTCAACATCACAAAACAACAAGATCCTAACAGCCAGCTGCGGATCATTAACAATATGTAGAAGAGTGTTGCCTTTGAAATCCACGTGATCATCGAGATGGAGTGGCTGCCCATCCCCTTGGGCCACAGCGGCAGATTCGAGTCCAGCCTGAACCATGTTAGTGTAATCAGCATGATCATAAGACCGGCAAAGAGCAAATAATGGTGTCAAGCCATTCTTGTCTCTTTGCCGCCAAGGAATCAAGTGTCCAATTCGCGTGATCAAAGCTGGCGCATGGAACAGGTAGTGGGCTATACTTCGGCCGCGTACGTCCTGTAGAGCAAAATATTGCCGAATCTGCAGCTCAGGGCTTGATTTCAAAACGAAATCTAGAATGATGTCAATCAGCTCAGTGTGGCCCAGCTGTATAGCGGCACTTAAGAGAGTGGTGTCATCATTGTTGGTATCTTCGAGGATTATGTCCTTAGGGAAAAAATCTTCTAATGACAGGAGATATCTCAGCACCTCCGGACGCTCGTTCTGAATAGCCATCATGGGAATTGACTCGCCAAAAGAATCCTGAGTTTGGCATAGACGTTCGACAGAGGTATCTCCTTCAAGCCCACTGCCCAATGTGATGATGCTGCCAGTCCGCGAGTGATAGGAGAATTCTGAGCCGCTAGACATACTTCTAGTGTCCATGGCAACCTTCTTCACCTTCTTGACTGGAGCAGTCGGTAGATCATCTGATGGTTTGTTTTGGAACGGAAACACATGGCCTAAACCTGACCCTTGAGAGTAGGTTTCTGATGGTGTCAAAGCCGATGAAGATCGTCCGTATGAACCACTAAACATACTCCAATTTACCGAAGGAGCACGGCTCGAGAGCGGTGATGCGGGGAGATCATCATCCTCAGCGACGTCTGAAGAGCCATTTATTATTCTCCTCAGCTCGTCCACCTCACCCTTGGCTGTTGCGTCCCATAGGGCTTTGTTGCGGCGACTAGCTCGCCTTAAAATACTTGAATCGCCAAATAGGTAGGACAAAACCGCTTCAAACGTGCTCAGAGCATATCCCATTTCTCCGCTGTCAACATCATCGATGAAGATGAAGTGTTTCATGTAGAGCAGTCTTGCCTGTAGATTCTTAACCCCTGCTCTAATTACAACAAATAGGAGAAGAGACACCAGAGTATCAGCATTGACCATGAGTACGTTCTTTTCAGACGAGGTTTTGGCGTTACCGCTGGGATCTGGCTGCTCAGCTAATTGCGTGGCAGCTTTAATTGTTGCTAATAAGATTTGCATCATATCTTGAGCACTTGTTGCGTTTGCCATCCGTCTAAAGTCATCGACGGCGATACCGAGTCTTGTCGCGAGTGCGCGCTTGGCTTTAGGGCCCCCTTCTATCAAGATACCTAACTGTGAAATATCGATGAATTCCATTTGTCGTATTTTAGCGTCAAGCTCCTGGTCTTGTGGCCGCCGGAGAGTAGTGAGTCGTGGCCATATTAGATTATGTACATTTTCGGCCACGTATCTCTCAATAAGTCTCTCTACTAGCGGGCCGGTTAGCTCTGTTGTAGCACCAAGCATCGATAGCTGCTGCGTGTCGACGCCTTGAAAGAGGTCGATGGCAGTCGTAACCGCTGTTTCTAAAGAGGCTCGCATGACATGCTCATCCTCTTCAGCGAAGAAGTTCTCCACGGGCGGCGCCCCGCTGTGTCTGTCAAAACTGCTTCGTCGCCTCGGTAGACTGCTAGCCCGGACCTTCTTCATAGCGGCGGCGATAGGGCCATCCGGCGGAGGGTCTGGAATATGCGCTGCGGACGGTGGTGGAGGCAGCGGTTTATCGAAGATGGTGTTGAACTCCTTGAAAAGCATTTCGAGCCCGGGGTGCATCTGTCTCGCGATGCTTGGGAAATTGTTGAGGAGATCATGGAAGCTTTTGATATCTTTCTTCCTCGGTAGGCTGGGCTCCCCATTCTCCAGAGCGGCAGCTTGTTTCGCTTCCGCCGCTTGCCTCTTTGCCATGCCCTCCGTAAAAACGGCACGAGGAATCTCGATCTCCTCCCAGGTACCAACCAAAGGTCTCGATATGAAGTATATAAGCCATTGCCGAGGCTCGATCGTATCGGCGTGCCAAATCGTATCGGATAAAAGCTGAGACTGAGTATGCGTTTTGAAGCCTGGATATCGTTAGAGTACGGTCGCGTAAAGGGGGGCGTTGCGCATAGAGACCACCAACCCTTATTGCTGTAGACGAAGGCATCTTTGATGACAACACTTCGGCCATTGAGTGTAGTATACGGCTTGGCCTTTCCCCTCCATTCTCTCAAGTTTGAGACGCCATCCTTCCCTCCCGCGACGGAGAAGGGGCTAGGGATGCGCAGGACATGGCTCCCCAGGAATTCGTCAGTGGCGACGACGTCGGACAGCGGGGACCCGGTCTCGACTTCGCGGGAGGTGAGGAAGAACTCGGTAGTCGGAACGAGGAGGATGTAGTGGTGAACAGGCGTGCACTGGGTGGCAACGGAGCTCCCTGGCTTGAAGAAGGCGGCTAAGAAGGGGTTCAGGGGCTGCATTCAGGCAGCTGCTGTGCGCCGACGTCGCTCGGATATCGGGGTTGTTTTTTGAATTGCATGAATACAGGATACTCGAAGGTTAGAAGGAGGCTGCTGCCGATGGGACGTTCGCGATGATCCAGCTTCTTTCAGAGGTTATGACGAAACGCGCAGGGGTTGATGTATCATGGCACCTGAATTGTATACCGGCGGTACTGTCACCACTGTCGGTAATGTAGGACAGCGCAAGTTATTCTATATATAGAGGGCCGACGAGAAGTTACAACGATGGCGCCGGCGATGTCGAGGTAAGGCGAGGTGAGGCGAGGTGAGGTGAAGTATGTTGTCGCGCGCGCGGTGAGCTTGAACAGAGAGAGCGAGCTGGATGGTCGGCGCAATGCAGGAGAGAAGCCATGATTAGCTAGCTACAGCAGCTAGCTGGGCCGAGACCCAGCATGACCCAGCATGACGCCAGATAACAAGTGACAACAGCAGATCTCCATTCAGGTACATGTACGCCGGTCTAGCCGGTATCTGTACCTACGGCAGAGCTACGGGTAGCTACGGGCACGCTAATTACGCCCCTACAGGTGTCTCTCCAGTAGGTACTTACATAGAGTACTGGAATGACTATGTACATACATCTACTTCGTAGCTAGGTACTCCAAGATCCTCCAACATCTACTCCAATGTACCTCCATCAATATCGAAGGTAGATACTAACCAGGGCGTGTAGATTCAAGGCGAGATACGCGCGTCGCAGTACCCAGAGCTATTCCTTTGCTACCTTTAAGCCCACTCTAGATCCTTCCCTGGATAAGTACCTATATACCTAAGATAGGTACATCATGGATAAATCATCAAGCCGGGGAAGATAAAACCCTTCGAGAGTAAAGCATGCACATGTATACTGGGATTATATCTAGACTCTACATAATAAAATGATAACTCAGGTATACTTTGTGACTATGTTGCTACTTGAATGCTAGCAAATTCATCTCATGCCAAACCTGTAGGAAACAAGACCTATTTAGAGGTGTTATACTGAAGAATCCTCAAATGAACAGAAATCTCCGGGTTTTGGATTGTGGCATCAGATAGCGGTGGTCATGACATCTCTTACGCACAAGATGTAGTTTTCAATGCTCGCGGCTTTTTTCTCTTCATTCCTTCCTTTTACCTGCCTGGTTGATCAGTCCTTCACAGCTCCCACTAACAAGAACGTGGGCCGGATCAGCTCGACGTCCCAGCCCGGGTTACTCTTCAATTCCTCTTGCGAGGGACACCATTCCACGAAGTCCGTCAACCGGAAACCGGAGCTCAGTAACAGATTGATGTACGTACTCATAGTACGGTGTTGTTTGTGAACCCCCTCGACGAACCAGCTCCTGGTCCGCAACCCCTCTTGTTGATAGGCGTCGACTTGCCAAGCTTTACGTCCAGTATCCTCGTCCACCACAACAAGACTCGGCGTGGTCGGCGCTGTGAACAGCGGATGCTCAACTGAGAAGACAAATCGGCCGCCGCGCTTCAAACTTCTGCTGATCTCCGCCACTAGACTCGGAAGATTGGTGAGGTAGTGGAACGTGAGCGAGCTATACACCACATCGTACTCATCGTCGGGAAGCGTGAGGTTCTCAAGGTCTGCCTGCTCGTACGCAATACCATCGTCCGCCGTCATGCTGTGCGCTTTTTCTAGCATTTTCTCGGAGAGGTCAATGCCTCGTACGCGCGCGGCACCCCCTGAACGCGCGAAACGCGAGAACCATCCGAACCCACACCCGAGGTCCAACACCTGTGCTTCTTTGAGGGTGGGCAACATCTCGCGTAGGCGCGGCCACTCGGGTGCGCCATCCAATCCCTTTGTCTGCCGATCTAGCTTTACGTAGTTCTCGAAGAACTCGCTCTGGTCGTAAACGTTCTGTGACATTTCGGGTTGAACGAAGACGAGTCGCTTCCGCGCTTGTATACTGAAATGGTCATGCAAGTGTCTTGAGCGCGTAATAAGCTAATGATCATGTCGAACACCTAGAGGCAGAAGTAATGATAAACAATCATCTCTTCGATAAATCATGCAGCAGTGTAAGGCTCTGTTATACACCATATAATCCCGCCATTTGTTTCAGCAGCAGTGCTAGATATGCACGAGGCCATCTCTGATTACCCCGCCTCACAATATTCGGCGTGAGTCACCCGACGCCAGCGCTTTGATGTTAACAAACCTAAGAGAGAATAGACGGGAAATGAAGATTTGACGTCTATTTTGATAACAAGACTTCTCTATGGCAGTGGGCAGGTTTGTAGCGGGATAATATGGCTCCAAGTGTGATGTACACCGACGCCTCGTCCCTGCGCATTCCTGTACACGTGGGTGTCAACGGATATATGCTGCCATAGCGCGAACTCCAAATCGGTTTCGTTCTTAATCTTCCGTAATAATTTGTCATATTTCCCTATACAGAAGTCGCCTTTTCAATTCAGGTTATCGGAGCAATGAGGTGGTGGCCATCAAAGGCCGTTACCTGCCCTTAAAGGCCCGTAGCCGCTTCTCTGGGCATATCCTTCAGCTATCCAAATAGAAGGGAAGTGTCAAGGGCGTGGTCAGTTTGTTTTATATCCCAGTCGTTAACACTGGTCATGCCCTATTCTCTTAGCCATCCGCAGCAAATAATGGACCGCGTAGCTCAGAAATGCTCTTCATAATTGAATCATTCATATATCATTATCCTATACAGTATTCTTATCATAACCTTGCTGAATTTGATCGCCATGAGGCATTATGAAAATCTATGAAATATTTCAGGGGATCACAGCGCGTTTGCTAGCACGTAGCAGCCCACCATCCCTCTCCGTCCTCAGCCAACAGCCAACACCACAACAATTCAACAGCATGGAACAAAACAAGAGGTGGTGTGGCGTCGTTGCGCAAGCACATGAACAAGTCGATGCAGCTGCTCCGTGAAAGCATGGCCCCATGAACTTGTGCTTGCTACTTAGTAAGTCTCCAAGAGCTGAATTTTGGCTCAGTCATGACTGAAACGAAGCTGTGGGGGAAGCCCTACCGTTATTGCAAATTCTTTGACAGGCCTGATGGTTGAGGAAATGTACTTGAGGTGATACGCCCTCGGTGTGCCAAGATTCGTTCAAGGTGGTAACCATAGCATAGCGTCTCAATGTCTATTAAACGACCAGCAGCCAACAGACATAGATAAGTACGATTAGGTCTTTACTCGTAGGGTCAGTTGTCAATAGAGGTTATTGTTTGTTTGGTGTCATTGCATTGCGGTACAGCGTCGCGGCAGTCCAGCTCGATATCACAATTGGAGCAGATGTAACGGCTGTCGTTACACAGATGGTAGAGTAGTATGGACGTGGTGGTTATTGTGTTCACTCGGCTGGTGTGAGCACATCTCTCATCTTCCCTTATCCATGATCTATCCTATTCACTAATGCGTCGTTAAACTTAGATCGCCGCTACGACCTCCGGTCTAATTTCGAGCACAGATTCTGAGGACTTCGGACATGTCAAAAATGTAAATGTCTTTGGAACGTTTCTTGTTACTTAAGCTGCAGCAGCAGCTATGAAGTCTCAGAACCCCGTGCTCTACGATGTTTCGGTGCCTGGCAAAGGTAGCACTCGTGGATCAATCGTGATCATCGACTCCTTGGCCTCTGTGATCATATTGCCAAATATGGCGCAGTACAATACTGCGAAACACAGGGCGTTAGCTAAAGTAAGGCCGCAGGTAGGAAAGGGGTTCCATTGCGCTTAGGCACTGAGCGATTACGTATGTTAAATACCCGATTTTCAGCTAACTAGCCAATTGAAGAACGAGACATCGCAGAGCATTTCCAGATAAAGTAGGAAGTGCGCAGTAAGCCGACGAATTAGGCGCTCGTCTTGTTACTCTGAATTCACTAGTCGTGTCTACTTAGCTTCAAAGTACCATCCAGCTAGGTATTCAAGAATGCCCTCCCAGTGCGGAAGCTCACAAGCTAAAGCAATATACAAATCCGGACGAACAAGCACAATCCTTCCCTCGCCTTCTCCATCTTTCTCAATACCGTATCTGTCCCTGAGCTCGCCGACTTGATCTATGCTTTGATTATCGTAGCCGAACTCTTCCTCACGCTGATCCGATATTAAATACACGCAAACGTGACCTCGGAAGCGCTGCATGATGGTATCGCGGACACGCGCGGCGAGCGCTATCTGGCCAGGTTTCCTCTCCGAAGACAGGTCTGGGACGATGAGAAGAGTGAATTCGGGACGGCGAAAGATGTCATATGCGTAGCGTTGTGGAGAGACTGTGAGCAACGCATCGGGGGCACGGCTCCCTGGTTTTGGGCCAGGAACGGGATTGTTCTGGTAAATGAGTGGGAGGAGTGGTGTGACAGTTTCGGTGTAGTTATGGGCTATGCCAGAGACGAGATACACGCATTTCTCTTCCCAGTCGGGCACCTGGGTTAGAGGAAAGCGGTCTGCAGGCTCAATTCCGAAGCCCAGGACAATCTTGTGAGTTGCGGCGGCACCTGCGGTGATTTGTTCACCAATGGGCTTGCGCTCCTTTTCGTAGGTGTCGAGGATGCCGGGGGATGCTTGGCCTTTGTACACAGCTGCGAGCTTCCAGCCTAGATTGAATGCGTCCTGCATACACCCATTCATCCCCTGACCGCCGGCAGGCGAGTGGACGTGACTAGCGTCACCACAAATAAGCAGTCTGCCATGGCGATACCGCGAGGCCATGTTGCTATATGCGTCCCAGGTCGTTGCCCATTCAGGTTTACCGACCTTGATGCCGACGCCGAGTTTGTCGGAGACTTCTTGAAACATCTGCTGCTTGTCTTCCCTCTTCGCAAGTTCACCTGTGGGATCGGACATATAGATACGATAGAGATTATCTCCAGGCATGCTTGAGAATACCATGAAGAGGTCTTTGCTGAAGAAGTAGTGCATCCAATCGGTATCGATTTTGACGTTTTCCAGCGGACCGTCCATCATAGCCATCGAAGCCAGATAATTGCCGGGAAAGTCTATTCCAGCAGCTTGACGAACAAAGCTTCTGACACCATCACACCCAACTACCCAAGGATAGCTGACCTTCTCATGCTTTCCATCCGGTAACTGGATTACAGCGGTGGCTCTCCCCTTGGCTTCCACCTCTTCTGGTTTTGAAAGACCGATGAGCTGAGTCGAGTATTCCGGTACCACACCGTGTGTAGCAAGGAGATGATTCCTGAGCACTTGCTCGAAGTTGTTCTGGCTGATCTTATACCAGAACGGATATCTCGTGGGAAGGGATGTGAAGTCATTCTTTGGGCACTGCTCGGGAGGAATTCCCGGGAAATTGAAGATATTCCCTGGACATTCTAGACATACTTCCTTCATCCGGGGGCTGATTGACATGTGGTCAAACATCTCCATTGTGCGAGCATGAATGCTAAATGCTCGGGCTGTGTGTGACGCACCCCGGCGCTTCTCAATAATGCGTACGGGAATCTGACGACGAAGAAGCTCATAACACAAGATGAGCCCCGTAGGCCCTCCTCCAACGATGAGGATCTCGTTGGACTCTCTGATATCTGTCGGTTCGCTCATGGTTTGGACAGCTAGTTCGCCACTGCTTCAGTATTCTACGTAGCTTGTATGGTAAATGTGAGATCGCAAGGTTTTATATCTGCCGGCAGCAGTGTGGGTGCACAACCAGTAAAGGGGATAATTATACGACAAGCTCTGTTCTCCACCCAGAGCTTCAAGGGGCTAACCATAATAGTTAAGATGGGATGATACGGATGACTCCTGCTCACACCATCTTAGTTACGACTCTGCCACGACTATTGCCAAGAAAATTTCTAAGCTCGATAAAACTATCCGCATTCTGATGGTGAGTGCGTTGCTCGTAATCAAGCTAAGAATGCGCTTGACTTAAACTTGTGAAGCTACGTTCTCTCCACTCCATTAACCCAGCTGTGGGTTCTAGATAGCAGTCAGCCATTTTCAAGGCTGAGAGCTAAGCGCAAAAAGAAGGTGGTGTAAGATCAACCAACCATAATGGTCTTGGCATCTAGCCGTTTCTAGTAATTGCCCTTGAATACTCAATACCTCTATATTAGCTACCTATTACAGCCATTACACCTATAGCTATTATATTAGTTACCGCTGGCTATAAAGGCTATACTGGCTGCGAAGGCTACGTTGGTTGCGCTGGCTACGAAGGCTAGGTATACTAGCTACGAAGGCTACGAAGGGTTATATAAGGGCTATAAGGGCTTTAAAAGCTATAAAAGGTTGTAAAGGTAAAAACTAAGGGTATACTCATAGAGTACTCACTTAATACTAATAAAAAGACTAATATTAAATGAATACTCTATAAGTATACCCTTAGTTTTACCTTTACAATTAGCCTTCGTAGCCAGTATAGCCTTCGTAGCCAGCGTAGCCAGCGTAGCCTTCGCAACCAGTATAGCCTTCGCAGCCAATATAGCCTTCGCAGCCAGTCATATACTAGTTAGTTGGTATAGTGGCTGTGGTGGCTAATACTTTTTGTACTCTGCTACTTAGAGTATTTAAGGGTAATTATTGAAACGGCTAGCTGCCAAGACATTTATGGTCGGTTGATCTATAGTCACCCTGCACTTGTCTTAGGGCTGATGAGTGGACGTTAATGTGGAGAGGAATATACGGGCAGGGTTTGCCAAGGCTCGTCCTTGGTTTTGGACTAAGGCCTGGAACATTTGCCGAGTAAAACTGGGACTCAGGGCAAGTCCAATGAGCGCTTGCCGAGGCAAGCTGAGAGTTAGTGTATAATTGATCTAGAACACGTTATAAAATATTATTATCTCATCAGACCGATGGAAACTTATGGGTTTGGGCATAGTAGTGTAGTGATATCGTGAGCGTGACGAGCACCACTGAGCACCCAGTCACCTAAAGCAATGACAATATAATTACTAGTTAGTCTTAAGTGTGTAGCTTGAGCTGAGGGATAAGGTCTTTCTATTGATAATCAAGCAGGTGTTCCATACCAACCTAGCGAGATCTACAATGAAAGTTTGATGAGTATACTATTGAGGCAAAAGGATATAAGATTCCGTTTGAGTTGAAGTAAACCTGACAGGCTAATTCGGCTTACGAGGTAGGTGTAATATCATGGGCTCGGACTCCCCTTAGTATTCGGCATCGAAAGTCTCAGGAAACCATGACCCTACTGCTACCTACCTGCGAGTCAGCTTCACCCTGAAAATACTACCCCTGACAGTTACAAGCACCACATGGACTTGGAAGTATCATCCTTATAACCATGGTCTCATCAGTGCAGTAAGGTTGTGCAGCTTCTCAACAAATACTCCTATAATCATCGTTTTCCTAAGTACATAACTTCAAGTATATACGCACACAGTGCAATGAATCGTAAACGCTTGTTTAGTAGGTATTTCTATGTTAGGCTGGCACTATTTCCGGATACTCCCGCGCTGAGACATGTGTGTTGAATAAAGAAAATGTCTTACCATAGCGGGTACCCTCGATACTACTTCTTTGTAACCAAAATCTATATAGAACGTAGCCCACCCTTGTAACTGATAGCCAGCAGCCACTTAAAAGGTAGTAGCAATTCATCTACACATAGCACCGGAACCATTTGTTCCTTGTCCACTCGCCGATCTACAAAGCACTCCTTGTGCCACACAATATTACAAATCTGATAATTAATGAACCTACTTTCTTCTACATTGTAATATTTCATGATCTAAGTCGCACCTTTTTATTTTGACGGTCGATTTATGGCTTGAACCGTGACTGAGACGGTTCGAAAAAAAATGTCTGACCATCATGTATTGCAACTGGCCAACGAGATAGAGTGCTACTTTTCGACATCAACTTTCTGGCAGTATGAACAAATGATGGGCCATGGTGGGTTTGGTTTCATATTCCGCGTAGGTCAGAAGGGCAGGCCGGATGGATTTCGGCTCGCCGTGAAAATCGCACTACATACTGCAGTCGCTCAACTGCGGAATGAAATTACTACATTAAAGGTTCGGCCTATTCACGACCCGCTTTATATTGACGGTTTACTGAAAGAGTAGAAACAAGCAACTCAACGGAGCCAAGCATATTATCAAAATGATTGCGTCTGCTGATACCGAAAAGCCAATGTATGACAATAATCGGTTCCCTCCCCTAGCCTGGGTGTTCGATCCCCTGACTAGAATCCGAGGACCTATACTTGCGATGGAATTTATGAACGGTGGTAATCTGGTTAATTTGTTTGATCGGATCGCGGCAGACGGGGGGCATATGCCGAACAGACTACTATGGTCGTTGTTTCTCTGTAGTAGGTTCTCTGCTAGACTCGTTATTGTATCTTGCGCCCTCCATACATTCATTATAGATAGACTAATTGAGCCGCCATAGTGATACGAGCTTGTATTGGGATGGCATATCCTATAGGTGCCCCACTAGGTAGTTCGACGCCAATACTGGAAACGATTCCACATAATAGGGAGCCGTCCCTTCTGCAACACAATGATATTGAACTAAGGAATATGATGATGAGGACGGAAGAGCACGATAGGGAACACCAAGAGGGGTTTACATTCAAGTTAATCGACTTTGGCGCTGCGCAGGTTAGTCTCGATGCTAACGGAGGACCGCCAGATAATCTGTTTGGGGTATCTCAGGTAAATAGTGACAATCGCTAGTTTCAAGCTAAGCTACATAGATCTGAGCTGATCAACGTCTTATATAGGCACTGGCTTCGTTAATTACCATGAAGCCATTCAAGATTTTCAACGAAGCGGGAATACACGAAGGCTTCGAGACTATTGGTGCCTACCTACTTCCCAAAAATGGGAGAGATCCTTATCCATGGCTTGACAAGGATCTAGCTCATCTCATGGCTGAGTGCATGTACAGAGACCCAGCTAGGCGACCTACGTTAGAGCAAGCATTTACTCGAGCTAGCCAAGCCGTTAAAGGAAAAACTCCAGATAATTTTCCTAACCCTCAGGAGGAAACTGATCAGGTGGTCAGGAACTTTACGCAACAGTTCGTAACCAGTAATTGAAGTTTTGAGACTGAACTGCTAAGATAGTATCACAGGTACATTTTCGATCCTAGTCCTACATAGTGAGACTTGTAAATTCAATACAAGGTTATCAATATGAGGATATCGCTCGTCATATCTGCATACACGTCAAACAAGGTATTATATACTTCTAGCAAGGCCTACCCGCGATCCGCCTATGTGATTAGGCCGTATATAAGGGACGAGGTTTTATATAAGCTAGATGGAGATTATCCCTGATTCTGGTATACGAATAACGGCTATCACAGGCGAATTAGCTTAGTCTCCTGCCCGCTGTCCCATTCAATATTGTAGCAGTTATTGATTCTGATCAAAGGTTGAGAATTTTAGATAAGGTTTATATGGTTGTGTATTGGTCATGAAGCTAGTAACCCCTTGATTTTCTCGGATTTCATGTATTCTTGGAGTGGTCCTTTGAGTTAAAGTGATCTAATTAGCGGGTATGAAATATATTATTGAACAAAATGTTGCAACGGCCATGATTACATTATTTTGATGGAGCTGGGATGCCAAATACTCTTAGCTTTCTAGCCGCAGTCTCAAGGAAAAACTGAAACTGAGTGTCAATTATCTGAGTGGGTGATATATCAAGTTTCCCTCGCTGCGACGGAGTAACTTGCGTATGTGTCATCATTTGTAGAGGAGTCTAGCTTGATTCCACTCCAGCTGACCTAAACTTTTGATCACACAATCATTCCATCTACAATCTATTCTGACACGAAATCCAACTTCGCACGTTCAAACACCCTGTGAGTTCGGCCATGCTAACCTATTGGTTTAGACCTGCAGCAAAGAACTCTGGATATCGGAACCCTGCGACCTCGTACTTGTCCAGTGCTTCCTGAATCTCAGCCATCTCGCTGTCAGTGAGTTCAACTTCTTGGGTGTTCTCTTTTACTTGGGTTGCTTTAGTACCACCAGGAATGGCGAGGACGCCATGTTGTTTTACCCATGCAATAGCCACGTGAGCAGGCGTGACCCCCTTCTTCTTCGCGATACCTTGTACAAACTCAGCTAATTTCACGTTTTGTTCGAAATTACCGGGTTGGAAGCGTGGAAAGTGGTGTCGTGGATCGTCTTTAGGAATGTCGTCGAGCGTTTTGAATTTCCCTGAAAGCACGCCGCGATCCAATACACCGTAGCCAATAATGGGGATCCCCAGCTCGTGGCAAGTATCGACGATACCACCCTTTTCGAGGGTATGGCGCGAGAAAAGGCTAATCTCCACCTCAACGCCGGCGCATGGGTGTACCGCATGTGCTCGGCGGATCGTGTTGGCGTTGACTTCGCTCAAACCATAAGAACCGATCTTCCCCTCCTTAATCAATTCAGCGAGGGTCTTGACCATATTCTCGACAGGCACGTTTGGATCAATACGAGCGCATTCGAATAGGTCAACAGGGTGGGTGCCACCTAATTGGCGCAGAGCATCGTCTACAGAGGCCCGAATACCCTCTGGTGTACAGTCTGGGGTCAGGGTGGCAAAGTTATACGCTCCCTTGATGCTGATCACAACCTTGGTAGCATCCTTAGGATACTGGGTGAAATAGTCTTTAAGAAGCACAAGGGAATTCGCCTCAGGGGGGCCATAGAACAATCCCTGGGTTGAATAGCGGTGTCAGTAAATTTTGTAGCCTAGGACTGATATATGTAACTTCTACTAACACCGTTCCAAAAGTTGGCTCCATTGTCAATGGCTGCCTTCAACGACTTGATAGCGTCATCATGAGAAACAGTTCCAAGGGCGGTCAGATCTGCCACCGATAAGCCAGAAGTTCATGATGCGCGTTGGGCAATGGCTCTTGCATTGTCTAGGGAGAACCTACTCATCATGCCATAACCAATAGGGTTTACAGGCTTTCCTGCAATAGTCGAAGGTGGGAGGTTTCCAGGCATCGTAATCGTTTCAAGACTATGGTGTTTATATTTTTGTGCGATGAAAAAAGGACTTGAGATAAATCTGTGAGGTTGATGTGAGTCTGTATTCCAAGTTGCCAACGAGAAATCTGGCCAGCTCCATTTTATATTGACACTCGCAACAATCTCATGGGCATGAAATATGATGTATGAGCATGGACTACGTATACACAACAATCCGGATATAATTAGAACTAACTCCACGGCAAGGGCGGCCACTGCATGATACTATACCATTGTCCCATAATGCTCTTGTCACACGGCGCAGACTGCCGGGTCTGCCGGGACCCCCTGGGCCACTTACGGCTAACAGTACCCCTGGCGAAAGTAAGGCTATGTATAAACGATTGGGTACGGAATCACAAGGTCAGATTGTTAGATGCAAGCAACCAACAGTTAAAGCATGAGAGCCCAACGGGTAAAGGAGTCCTAGATTGTATGAAGTGGCGTTGAAGGAGTAGAGACTCGAAACCCCCCGAAGCCGAGACGCGGAGAGGGACTGTTGCATAGTATTACAGTGCTTCGATATACTCATACGCAAATGACAACTTAAGTCACCGGCCGCTGACTGCCTACTAAACGCACTCATGGATGTAACACGGGATGGTGCAAAGCCCGAAATCTCTGTGCTGAGCTTTGATCACGTGACACTACAGACTATTGTCGGGCCGCGCGTTTCATCGGAAGTAGGGTCCGGAGGTTAGGAGATCTCGCTTACTTCTAATGTCCGAGATAGAAGGCGATGAACCCTGGAGCTCGCAAGGCTTCTAAATCGCCTATGTTTATTATTATACGACGGCTTCACTCTGAAGGCCAGACTTCGTATGACAGCTGGAATTGTATATTAATACAAGTATAAAGAGGAAAGGAGAACTATTTTACAGTTGTACGTGGCCATTGCGAGCTGGGCACCAGGTGACAGCAGCTGTTCAGGCAACGGGCGTGTAAAGTACAAATAACTAACAGATATTATAGTGTCAAGAAACGGTGCGCTTGAGCCTGAGGAACCATTCAAGAAGCATTTGAAAAGACTAGTTGGCGCACAATGATGGCACGGCGCTATCACTTCCTTTCGAGGATGCCGAGATAAGAGCCCTGCGTAGTTTGCCAATAACTCGCAACGGCTTACTCGCAATTAGGAGACCTTGGTCTGATGAAAGTCAGTTTGTTATCATGAATCATACTCCGGACAGGCTCATTGTGGTAACAACTTACTTGGTCCTCTCTAAAGTCTGTCGTGTGATTCTAGGAATTATAGAAGTCGCCCTGCCCTTGTCATCCACCTCAAACACGAAATCGTCAAATGCGATTTTCCCATAGTGTAACGCAGCAACACCTCCCCAAGGCAGGCAACCCTGAGAGAACACAACCCCGGGTTGCGATGTCTGAGAAGCGTTACGAACCCCTTCGTACACAGCGCGGAAAGATATTTTGCCGTTGCTCTCCAGATCCATAGGATACAGTCTGGCGTCAACCTGCGCGTTCGGCACTCCTGTATACTGCTCCAATACGTCCTTGTCACCCATGGTCCAGTTACTAAGCTTAAGTCCCGGATGAGCGTTATCCACAGAGATCTCCAGGCTCATATTAGAGCTGGCATAAATCCCTCCGAAGTTATATGCGGCCTCATCGCGGGCGGCTTGCTCGAAAGCCGAAACCATGGTACTTGTAACAATATCGCCGATGACATTGAGCGCTACTGCGCGTGCTGCAGACTCAGCCGCAGTTGTAGGGCTGGCAGTCAAGAGAGCGAAACCGAAGTCGTGCTCTGGCGAAAGTACGAAAAGCGTTGAGTAACCACCCAGCATACCATTCTTCGTGTAGAGGTCAACGACGCGCGTGTGATCGCTTCCTGATGAAACAGGTTGCAGTAGGCGATGTATCTCCCATGGCATACCGACTGCTACGTGGAGGTCGGCTGTATGGGCGATGGGACGTAGCCATTGTCGAGTTGTCATCGGGCTCAGGATACTGGAATTGAGAATGGACTGCCCTAATGTCGCCATGTCTGCTCCAGTTGAAAAAATGCCGCCCACTCTTATCTATGTCAGTCATATGCTGCCTAGCAAATTTGGGGCGATAGAGACACTTACGGGCTTGCATCAGCAAGGTCCACACTCCACCAGCTTGAGATCTTGTCTCCTGGTATGATGCCTTCTTTCGTGCTGTTTGGAGGTTGCAACGATGTTCTGCTTAGCCCCAAACGGTTGATGATCGAGGACTGAAATATATCGGTGAATGATTTGCCGGTAATTCCTTCTAGTGCGTAGGCAAGAATTTGAAATGCCATATTGGAGTACACGGGCGTGTGGAACGTCGAGGTAACGGGGTGCAAAGCCTTGACTTCGTTGAGAAAATCTATACTGATGTTACCAAGGTTACCTCTCTCATCGAGGCGAATGCATCACTTACCTGCACGCGAGCATGATGGAAGCAAGAAGTCGGTGGTGCCACAAGTTGGGATATCTTCGGGCGCAAGTGGTGGAAGTGCAGCCTGCTCTGCTATTGTCTCATTGATAAGGTTTGCAAAGTCAGAAAGAGAATCTATGTTTGCAGAAACTATTAGCTTCGCCCACGTCCAAAGCGCTGACGGGTGTTGAGTCTAGGTCATATACTTACAATCCCGGTCTAAGCCAGCTGAATGACTAGCAAGAGCCTCGATGGTAACCTCATCCCACTTCACTTGGCTCACAGCGTCATTAGCCCCATTCTTTGAGAATTCTGCAAGTTCGGGCACCCATTTCGTGACAGGATCTTTCAGGTGGTTCGCTACATAAGGTCAATAACTATCATCAAAAGCACGTTGTTGACTTAGGTCGTGACTTACTGCCGAGTTCAGCTAAGAGTGCGTAGACTGTCAAAAGTTTGGAGACGCTGCCAATACGGAATATAGTGTTCTCGTCTAAACCTCTTGATGGAAGTGAAGTGTTATCCAAACTCGTTGCGGCGTAACTGAAATTGAAAAGATTCTCATCTTTTGAGAAGAGATTTAGCTGAAAGCTTGTACTAGCATTGTCGAAGGCAAGTGGGTTATTGATGAGTTTTTGAAGTTCATCCTGCAGAACGGATAGTCCCGTGCCAATAGCTCCTGAGTCCCTTTTCAAGTTCTTTGGAACGGGAAACACTGCACCTTGAAGGGGGCAGTTTGGGCTATACTGCGCTGTAGTGAAACACGCGAAGAGTGGCAACGTAGCCGCCGCGAAAGTGGCAATGGAAGTGTTGATAGCCCTCATATTGCAGAAAACGACGAGATGCTCTAATCATGTTTTATACGATGGATTCTCTAATCGCAAAAGCGAGAAGACATGGTCTTATATATCTACGACATCGTATATCAGACTCTTCCTTTTACTATGTACTGTATTATGAGGTACGGACCCAGTAATGCCTCCTAGTGACCCTGGCAAGCTGGTACCACATCTCAGGAGACGGAGCTGAGAGAGATCGACGTCAGTTCTTGGCATACAAAGAAATCCAGCCAATGAGATTATCGCTGCCTAGCATTGAAGCTCCCGATTGGCTGCGTCGCTTCGAAGTGCCGAGCTAGAGATGGCCCCAGTAGATCCGGGGTGTGTGTGATGATGAGCTCAGCCTCAAATGGATGCAAGTTTGATTAAATCTAACTAGGCAGAAAAATAGATTTCACTTTTGAGCACATCATACGTCTTATTTCTGTGTCATGCGCAAGCATATTAATTGCGTCTTTAGTTATTAACGAGTGTTTCGGCGACTTTTACTGACGTCGGGCTAACCGAGCTGCCGAGACTTGGCGATCCATATCTCAGGTGTCAGCGATGGTGCTTTTCCGTGATACAGGCTCTGAGAAGCCACAACCCAAACGTACCTATCATCCACGAAGTCGGAATGGGTGTTCCAACTGCAAGTAAGGCCATTTCCCCTCTTGGTATACTCTCCTAACCGACATTGAGCCTCGCTGTACAAGGCCATCAGTCTTGGGTGATGGCAAATGTCAAAGCTAATGCAATGTGCTCGTAAACAGGAAGAGAAAAGTGAAGTGTGATGAAACAAAACCGCAATGTACTCGCTGTCTCTCTGCTGGTTATCGGTGCGAAGGCTTCACGAAATCACCCAATGAATGTGCTCGCCCAGAACACACTACAGCTCACCCGCTGGCGATTGTCAATGGGTCGACAACTGCGTTGAGTCATGCGACTCCCCGTGCACAAACACATGGAGCTCTCGTTGAGCTGAAGATTGCATTACCCCGGACAAGTGTGGCAGAAGCTCGCAGCTATCGCTTTTTCATGGAAGTAGCTGCCCCTTCACTTGCAGGGGTTTTCGACGGTGACTTCTGGCTATGCGAAATCCCTCGCGCCTGTTTCGTCGACAGGGCAATATGGCACGCCGTGGTTAGTCTTGGTGCTGTATACGAGGCATATCTTTCAAGCAACAAGACAAATGAAGCTTCGAGAGACTCGCACAACAGCAATGAATTCATACTGCAACAATCTAATCTAGCAATCAAGGCCCTGGTAAATACATCGCTCGAAATAGACAAATGGCGTACTTTGACAGCAAGCGTACTATTTACACACATTTGCAGCTTGCAAAGCCATCATGAACAGGCTTTCATGCATCTATCCGCAGGCCACAAGATCATACAAGCTATGCTAGTAGATGGGCGAACCATGTGCCTGAAATCGACGTTCCAACATACTCCGGACCCGAGTACCGAGACAGGGCCTGGGATTCTCGGCTCGTCAGCAAAAATTCCCGTTTCTTTGGCTACGCTGCAAGCAATCATAGCGAACCTGGAATCTCATCGCCAGGCAATGAATTGTGGCGGGCTGATACACGAGACGAGCAAAAACCACAATTTCAACTTGTGGCTCTCCTATCGAGAACCTCCAAACGACCCTGGCAGACTCGGTATGAGCTGTGTTGCGAGCGAAAATATTATCAACGCGAATCGTGCGGCCGAATCTCTATTCTATGGTCTCATACTATACTCACAGAAGCACAGCGATAAACTCGCAGAGGTGGTTGGTAAGGGCGACATATCAAGCCTTCAAGCCCTAATATCTGGACAAGAACCCTACAGGCGATGTTACACAAGACTTCGCACATTCTATCAGACTTGTCATACCGAAACAGAAACAGCTACCCATGCTGAGTTTACCAGAAACCCTCTCAATAAATCCATTCTCACACTGCGTCTTTTCCTCACCACAATGCGGCTCCTCCTCCTCTGTAACCCTGATACACCCTCACAACCTATCACCCAACACTATCTACGCTTGCAGTTCGAAGACATACTTTCTACCGGTGAAAAAATTCTCCAGCTTGGTCAAATTAGTAATACGTCGTCTACCATCCCAACGCCATCCACGACACAACCTCTCTACATGGTAGCCCATAGTGGATTCCCACAATCTTTACGTCAGCGAGCTGTGCTCCTACTAAGGAAGTACCCGAGATGTGATGGTCTCTGGGACACGTCATTCAGCGCTGCGCTTGCGGACTTAATGATGAGACAAGAGAGGGCAAGTGCCATGTGCAAAGAAGTCTCGGGGGAAGGCCAGGTTAGAAGTGAAGATGAAGATGATGGGGAAGTTGAAGTGTTGGATCGTGTCTACAATTACAAAGTTGTCTTCCAAGGGGTGAGGACAGCTGTGATAGAGAGTCGAACATGGAGGGATTTCCTGGCAGGGGCGTCGGCGAAGAGAAATTTGTTGACTTGGTAGAGACAGCGAAAAAGGGGTAGGGATATCGAACCTTAAGAAAAGTGGCTAATAATATTGCGAGAGTGTCTAATGACCAAAATACCGGTCCTGTGGTGCAACCGTGAGTAATTCCCGCTGTAACATTGTCACGACAGAGGTGGTACTGAGCTAAAAAATTGAGAGTCATCTAACGAACCCAGGTATGAAGGCATACGCGAAGTCTTAATTATTTGGTAACCGAAATCCCTCCTAGATAGAGTTATCTGCAAGTCATTACGTATGAACTCATTTTGCATAAAATTATAGCACAACCGACCAGTTCAGTTGTTCTCGAACGCATTTCGGTGCTCGTAGGATCCAATCGGGGTCCAAATTGTCGCGAACATTGGCTTGATAAGCGCCAGTTCCATTTTTCAACTGCTGTATACGGCGCAAGCGAAGAATATTCGTGATACTGTTTTTGTATAGTAACCGATCTAGCAAGATAGTTAGCTCTACGTGGTGGCTTCTGATAACGGGCAGAGTATTAAGTAAGAAGTGCGAGCGATATGTCCTAGGAGCGAAGTCTTCTATGCCACTTGCAACTTTTATAATGGCGTTCTTTGCAGACTGACATTACTTACCACAATCAAATAGAGTCAGCACGGTTAGTCATCGCTATAACGTCTTGCGTTGACCACAGAAGAAATGCCAAGAAGTTTGGGATATTCCAAGTTGAATGCTACGAAGCTATCAACTCAAAGCCATATCAATAAACGTTCACCGTACACGACTCATTGGGCAGCAACATGCATAAACCAATCAACCACCTTGTCAAGATGCATGATAGTCGGACAATGCCCCGCCTTGATGCTCGTCACATCGACCTTATTTCCAGTCTCAGCCTTGAGCATCTCGATCTCCTTCCTCTGCCAATCCGCGGGAATGACCAAGTCGTCCTCGCAGACTAGATACGACACCGGCACGTCCTTATACCCCGCGTGCGTGAGCGGGTTCGCGAAACTCACGCCGGAATGCAAAGTGAATTGCATCTGATAGCGCATTTGCTCTTCCTTGGTGGGCACGTCGGAGAAACACGTCGCTGCCGAGCGCTCGATGTCTGTGAAGTGCAGCCAACCTTTCTCCTGTAATTACTTTAACGTCAACATCGCGGTTACGTCATGAGGACTGGGGGGATATGCACTGACATCCGGTGCCAGCACTGGAGGTTTATCTGCGGGTGGTGCGGGGAGCGCCTCGGCTGTGGAGTGGCCTGGAGTTGCCACGGCGACAGTCTTGTACGCGAGTCTCACTATGCCTCCCTTCTTTCCCGCCTTCTGCCGCTCCTGGACTGAGAGGCCCTTGGTGCTCTCCGTCGCAGGCATGCCGCCGTAGGAATGCGCGACGAGGATGATCTCTCGCCCCTCATCTGCGAGCGCTTCAACTTCTTTGGCGATGAGAGCGGCGTCGTCGTACATTGTCGCGGGTGGCGTGTCACGTCCTTGTCCTGGACCGACACCGACGGTTGCAAGATGTATGACCTTCATGTCATATCCTCGCGCCTTTACCTGCTCGACAAGATTGTCGTAGAAATATGCTGGGGCGAAGGAGCCTGTAGCGAGGAGGAAGTAAGGCTTCGACATTTTGGACGTGTTTGTATTGATTGGCGTGGTTAATGCTGAGTTGTTCAGCGGAGTTGAGGCTCTGCTCTATCATTTATATGAACGGAATTCATATGATGATCGCTGCTTTGCTTGAGGTTATGTCTTCTAATCACCCCGATCGACTCTCCCGTGGCTTACCTGAAATCACGTAACTGACCCCTGTGCCGGAGCTTCAACGTGCCGTTGCTCCCACATGTGGGTACCGCAGATCTTTGCGCTGCCCAATTATCTGTATGCTTTTACAAAAGCGCTTCAGTGCATTTGTCATCTGGGAACTACACTTCCAGTATTAATTGGCCCAATGCCTATGGCGGATTGGGATGCGGGAGATGTTATGTCTTTGCCGTTGGGCTGCAGCTGATGAAGATGGTTGCATTGGGGTCAGACTTCAGTTGGTGGGGTCATTCGGCCTACCAGCATTTAGGAGCTGAGAGTATACATCAAGTTGCATCTACAAAGGAACACAAGGTCACGAAAAATCATGTGATATGGGCTACATAGAAAATTATCTGTTCAACTAGAGGAATGAATATTGCTATATCGTAGGAAACCGCTAAGCCAATGTCGAAGGCGGAAACGACCGGCCTCACAACTCGGGGCGACCATGCTGACCAGGGTGGCAAGGAGCCGCGAAAGTATTCTTCAGCGCCGGGATGGACGGCGTGAAGAAGTACTCTCCACCGCGCGAGATCACCCATCTAGCGCTGAAATCTAGTTCCGTATTCGCCCCCGAGATGTCCGGGCTCGCCCCCACCATCTGCCGGGGCAGGTTATCCGTTGCGACACCGATAATCGGGTCGATGCCCGGCGCTGGGACCGGAGGTACAGTAGTGGTCTTGGGTGGGAAAGTGCGGTTATTTGCCCAGCCTAGACGAAGAAATGTGTCAGCATGCCGCCCAGACGCTTCACGCAGGCTTGGCTTATTATGATTGGGACTGCTTACTCTGTTGCATGAAGTGGAATCCATTGCCTAGATTGCTCTGGTAGCAGGCGAAAAGAAGGCCGCGTTCCAGCTTCTCGTCGGGGGAGCTTCTCCTCTCCCTTTTCTCCTTTTCTGTTACCTCAGGTCCGAAGGCGATGCCACGGCGAATGACTGCATCACTTAGAGTTAGTAACTTCCTTTCTGAGCCGCGTCTGATTTCATATCTCCATGCTTGGTGGAGAGTAAGGGGTTTTATATCTAGTGTTCCTCTCTTCTATTGAGCAAGAAAATGGTTCTGGACGTTACTCACTTCGGCGAATCTCCGTACCGCCGCGACCGTCCAAGTCCGAGCGAGGGTTGGTCTTTCGGATGTGCGCAGCAAAAGGACAACGCTCCTGGTTATTAGGGTCGAAACGGAAATCTTGACGTTTAGCAAAAGCGGGGTTGTCGCGCAAAGGTGTCAAGTCAATGGGGGCGCCTGTGTAACTGACATCAGTACGGAATACATTCATTAACTGCCGCTGAAGCAGCCGGGTCTGAGGCTGAACCTACCGCTCTTCCATCGCCCAACGAGACGAGCGCCGAGAAGGTCGGCTCCAGTGGGATTCCCAGGGGCAGGCGGGATACCCTTCAAAGCGTTCTCCTGTAAAAAGGTATCGAACTCAGGGACAAGCTGCTTCAAGTAGCGGAACGCGAGGAAGCTTCCGTCAAGGGCCCAGGACGGGCGCGTGACATGCTGTGGTGGAGTACCCGGAGGAAACACGAGGCCGTCGTCGCCTTTACGGCCGAGGAGGATTACACCTTGACGGACAGGCGCCTCGCCTGGTTCGGATATGACGCCGGCATCAACGTTTTCGACGGCTGGCTGCGAGAGTCCATCGTTGAAGCCGAAGCTAGACACGGTAGCTGTTAGCAACAGGGCACGGGATTATTAGAAAGCGCTGAGGGGCACTCACTGCTCATGACCACTCTCAGCACCAGGTCTAACCTGACCTCGGAGTTGAGTAACTTCCTCAATCGTGGCGTCCTTATGTCCGGATCGGAATATTCTCTTGATATGATCAAGAGTTCTGTCAAGCACAACCATGCTATTGGCTGTGATGTCAAACACGCCGTGGATATCCTTCTTGAAATCAGAGTCCCATTCCGTGAGATTATCGCCTAGGTTCGCTGCATCCGCCAGCATTCCGTCCTTGAACACTTTGTCTCCAATGTCATCGGTGATTCCAAGCTGAGGATTGACTGCTGCGTTAGATTCTATTCTTTCAAAATGCATTGCTATGAGCTCTATCAACTCACCGCTACCAGACCCTTCTGGGAGAATGAGATATTCACACCACTATTCTCAATCAGGGGGAAGTGCCTGCCTTCATTGGCAGCTTCTTTCTTGCCCTCCTTGATGGTCTGATGGAATTTCTTGGCTTCCGTGGTGGTAGTTATAAGAGGAATGATTGATCTCAGGTGTTCTCGGAAATGGAGGCCTTGGCCGGCCTTGATACGGAAGAAGAAGAAGAGCTCCGTCTTCTTCCCTAGTCCCTCACTGACACGCATCACGGTCAGCATCTCGTGGGATATTGATCCATATGCACTTACAGGATATCACCTTGCACATTATTAATGTCAAGTGGCTGTTGGTTAGCCATGGTATTGTTGTAGATGACAATGTTATTTCACCTGGGAGAAGCTATATTGAAGCTTGAAATCGAGGCAGTGTAATGGTATGAGTTAAGGTGCGTAGCTTTGTCCTCCAAGTGCTTTGTTACTCGCCTGACTTGAATGCAGGCTTGCGTTCTTTATGTAGATTCACCCCAGAGCTATGTATGTTACCCAGATCATCCGAACAATCGTAGTCCCCGATACTTTTCGCCTTCGCTTTCACAGGGTGGCTGATGTTCTTGGCCACAGCCTGTCTGTATTTGCTACAAGATAGCCTGTCGATATGCTGCCTTATTTGCCTGCCAGTAATGGGAGATGTCTCATTCTTCCAAGATGGCGCTACCTCGGCCAGTCAATTGCTTTGGAAACGTAATCGCCGGTTGAACCGGAGTCACGCGTGTCAAGCTGACGACGTAGCTGATCCAATAAGATTGACTAATCAAAAGTATGAAGGCATTCGGTGTGAATCACCTCTCACACCTTGGCTTGGCCTACGTGGAGGTAACGACTAGACGGCAGACAACGAGTTAAGGCTGGCACAAACACGCATAAATACGGCTTGCCCTTATTTTAAGCCACGGCTTAGGTCTCATAGTAGTGCGAAGAGCGCATTCTGGAGTGCGAAAGCCTCTTCCTTGTCATAGCAAATGGTCTGTAGCATTCGGTTACACCGTCACATTGCTTATGCCAGTGGCTGCGAAGAATAATTCTTTGCAGGTTATTACTTAATGAGCCGCTCATTTGCGAGAGATCTAAGGGCGCAAAATGAATAGGCAAAGCCAGTGGCGTGGTCGAACGTACGAACGTGCTCATGACGTGCTAACACGTAAGTGATAATATCCAACGTCAGAAATTTCGACGATCACGGTGAACGGCGGTGTCAGAAAATAGAGCGCATAGCCTCATAGGGCTGATCTCTCTACAGAATACCTAACGCAGCACATATGTGTGTCAGCAACGCCTATAGGGTAGTTTCGTTCTCGAATACGTCTTGTGTGGTTACACAACGCTAGGCTGCTGAAGTCAGCCGCAAAATCCTGCCGTTTTCGTCTCATACATACATACGAAGCACATGCAGCCCGTAATGATATTCACCCAATAGGATATCACGTCAAGTCAGCGTAAAGGTGAGCTGTACTCAGCAGCTCTTGTCAGACGCAATTGTTCCACGTGGAACCTCCCAAAGATCCCTATCCAAAATCAGCCGATTACACGATACCTAGACATGATTATCCTGCCTAATGTAATCGCAGCCGTGGGCCTTAAGGCCCACTGACATATGTGAGAACTTGTAGGGCGTTGGAGCTGAACATAGAGTATGGAAAAGCTGCATTTTCAATTTGCCATTCCTAGTCCATGGAGTGGCTATCTCACCAACAAGTGAGAGCTACATAGCAGGTTTGGTATGCAGCGAGCAACCACCCTCTTCAGTTTGGGGGAACTCCGTAGGCACACATAGCGCCCATTACGGTTGTTCAAGAGGACACCCAATTGTGTGCTCGCCCAAATTGAAGAGCTGATGTCATACTACCTACCTATATATATATATAATCCGCCACGGCCCCCTGCATGAGAAATGCTAGACGTCGCCGGCTTTATTGACTTTGTTTCAATACGTGAGGCATAGGTAGCTATCCTCTGTAACGCTTAAGACTATCTTTTCTGATTTACTCTCTATGAATTTCCTAAAATTCCATACGTTATGTAGAGATGCCTGTTTGATGTGCATAGTGCTATGCTGTGTGCCCATACGATCCTATTAAACATGGTATTGAGATCGGTTGACTCGGAAACCCAAGTCTATGTGATAAGGGCAAGATTTGCCGACAAGCTAAGCTTATATAAGAACCTCGGTGTTCCAGTCTTCGACTAATGCAGACTAAAATGACATGAGTCTTCATTTACATATATTTATAGGCCTCAAAGCCGCTGGCCCATTCCATCTGCATTTCTTCCATCCTATTGAAATGGCGGATAGGAGCTGGGGTTCAGACACTTGTGGCCAAGTAAAACCGGAAGTCTATCTGTATCACTGCACCAGGGCAAGGGCTTCATTAGTCAGTTATTATTTTCTCGTCATGTCCTCCTTTCATCCGCTGGGCCATACCGGGTTCCATCAGACCACTTCCGGCCTCAATAGTATTTTCTAGTGTACGACACCTGGAACTGTATAATGACTGACTTAAGGTCTTCTGACTTATAGTACTAGTGAACGTGACCAACTATCTCACTACAGACACCAGATCATTCATTATATTCCGTAGGACCTACCTAGGCCAAGTTGTTACAGGTAGTAGTAGTTCGAAGGATCGGAGGCAGCTAAGCACTTGGTCATGTAAAGGGCCGAGACCTCCAAAACACATAACATAGCCCAGGAATCCATTATATTCAGCCCTTATCTCTCCAGACAATCCGACTACTAGCTAATTGCTACCTAGTGTACTTGGGATCTAGCCCCCTGGTGGACATATGGCTGCAAACACTGCCCCTTGTTTTTCCTCTCATGCCAACCTCTGACTTATTCTGACTAGGTGCAAAGCTCACATTTATACAGCACATTAGCCCTGGCGCACAAAAACGTCGTTATCAGCTCTGACCATAATTCGGGAGTAAGTGCCCCTCAGACTTTCCCCCTCGTAGTATCGCTATGCACTATACGAAGGCTTCCTCCTTCCAAAAGTGTGAAGCTTATCTTTAATCAATGCGCTTTATTCATGGTTCATGATCACAGTCCAGCTGCTGCGGCTTTCTAGTTACATAGTACAGTACGCAAGGCGGCTTATCTTCGCTTTGGAGACGCAACGCCGCAGCATTTCACTCCCACCTCACACGCTTGTACAGAGCGGGAAGCAGCCGATTCATTGCTGATCTCTAATTAATTCCGTTGGTTCGGATAAGCGGACGGAATAAGATTGTCTGGCGAACGGACCTGCTTCGAGGTCAACAAACTGATCGTACACGTAACGTGCAAAGCTCGGTCTCTACTGTATGGTCTGGTAAACATTTATGACACAGCCCACGTTCACTGTGGTAGTGCCCAACTACATCCGATACAGAGTACCCCGGGGATCAAAACTCCAGACACTACCTTCGTCCGAGTCAGGGGATCCCCAGGGGGATCGCATGCATGTCATACGTACATAGTAACAACCACTACGCCGGGAAGGTCAACAATTACATACTTAGTGCATAGTAGACTGCTGCTCACTATATTAACTATGTCGTTTTAGTGCATAGCCCGGATTCTGGCCCATAGGATGCTCCCCGGTTCTTTAGTGCTGTGTTGCCTTTCCCATGATAAGTAAGGCCTGTTGCACATAGCTGGAAATACCTTCGTGTGTACCTACCCCAGTCTCTCGGAGCTCAGCAACTCAAACACGATCTACGACATGGTTGTAATACTTTTGTATGCTTGGCACCTCTTTGGCCTGCATGTTACCTACTTGTGATTAGGTGAAGTAGCTTCTATGCTGGTGACCCACCAAAGATAATCACCAATCACACCAACAAATCTGCGCATTGATAGTCTTGTTAGATATTATGAGTGAGCTACACTACCAGAGGCAGAAAGGTTTAACTCTAAGCTCCACAAATCCTCCGACAGTGGGTAATATTAGTGTGAATAGAGTGTCCATCAAAGCTGTCTCGGCTGTCTGCTCGTGAACGAGCGTGTGGGAGAACTAAACTCCCCGCCACGTGGAGCATGAGTTTAGTCCGTTCAACCTAGTGCATTGACAACGACGTTGGCTAGGCCTACATAGTGGTAGAGCTAGGTAGCCAACAGGAACAGCGCTAATAGAAGTAGATTTCAGCTTCGCTAATGTTAAACTAGCCTAGCTGGCATACAACAGAAAAACTCTTACCTGTGTGCTTTGAAATAACGGTATGGTTTTGTACAACCAATAAGGCTTTCTAGTCTCAACTCCAAGATGTTCTGTGGCCCAGTCGCAAGCTCAATTCATAGTTTGCCCCTTTTTACATCTCTCAGCCCCTTGCTCTCAACTCTATACTCGGCCAATCTTTAACAACTACTTATCTAGTCATGTAAGAGTTATTGAAGAAAGTCTGAAAGTTTTTGTTTGGAATAGGTTGGGTTTTTAAGTAGTCAGAATTGTGTACTATGTAGGTGCAGGCAAACAAAAAACAATGATGGGCGAGGAGAGAAAACACTGAAGAAATTCTATCAAACAATGAGCGTCTTCTCCATTTCTCCGCATACATAGTATTTCGAGATTAGTGCAGTTTGTGGACTAGGTTTTGAACAGGGTGCCCTTGCAGTGAAAATCATGATCAATCTCTCCCCGCCAAGGGGATCGAGTCTAGTCTGTAGTGCACTTGGCATATTTCTAACATATTCCGGCATTGATTCTACCGTCTGTGCCGCGTCTGCAGGTCCACAACCCTTCCCCCATTCTACTAGCAAGCAGTAGACTCGACAAGAGTCACGATAGGTATATGACGGCCAAGTTGTACTATTCCAGTTAAAGCAGTAGTTCAAGAATAGTAAGTATATCTAACCAAGCGTGCTCGATACAAGGGCTAGGCCAGTTCAGGGCCAGATTCATGAAAGTTAACTAAAGTATTGTTAGACGCACGATCACCACTAGGTAGTTATCTATACTCGTTTGGAACAGCTGCTTACTTTTTCAAACTAGAGGTAACCCTCATTCATGTATACTAATATCGGTATCCTTTCTGTTGGGTCCTTCTGTTTCACTTTCTCATAATCTTGCGCCAAAATGTCCTATATGTCGTTTGACAAGTAACTCATCGGGAACTCCTTCGAATTGTTAAGAAGATACTGCATCAATTCGACATAGAGCCTGAGTCCGGTCTTCTTCCAGTTTCACATCACTTATTCGAACATGCCTGGCTTTCTCGTTTCGCCCAATTATGTTGCACCACAGGCGACTGTAAACGACCTGGTCGTCGCATCTACAGTATGGGGATTTTCTCTGGCCGTTTCGCTTTTCACTGCTTCCAAGGCACGCAAGCAGACATGGAGATCCTGGAGGCGGACGGGTCGTGCCACTCCCTACATCATCATGGTTTGGGGAGAGTGGTTAGCGAGTACAATTCTCGGTATAATATCATGGCTCTTCTTATATGATGTTATCGAACCCTCGTAAGTAAGCGCGGAAAATGGTCTGGCACAGTCATACAAATCGCGATGACTAACAAAGAATTCCAACGACTAGGTTCCAGTTCTTCTTCTCTATTATAACGATATGGGTCTTTCAATTGCAATGCATTATGCAGATTCTCGTCAACCGGATCGCCCTGGTGACTAGAGACCAGAGGAAAATGAACAGGCTGAAATGGAGCGTTGCCGGGGCACTCCTTCTCTTGAATATCAGCGTCTATGTGATTTGGATCCCGGCACGCCTACAGATATCACCGACTTGGATACATATCAATGATGTATGGGATCGAATAGAGAAAGGGTTGTTTGCAGTTATCGATCTAGGCCTGAGCTCATATTTCGCTTACCAAGTACGGGCGAAATTAATCGCGAATGGTCTCGTCAAGTATAACCGGCTCTTCCGATACAATCTTGTCATGATCATTTTTTCACTATCACTGGATGTATGTATTGTGTCGTTCACATATGGGTTCTTTCACTAACAGCTGACAGATTGTTCTTATTGTCGTTGTACCTCTTGGGAATGGTTTCGTCTACCTAGTGTTTCACCCCCTTGTGTACCTTCTGAAGCTACACATCGAACTCAATCTTACAGACCTTCTTGCTAAGATCGTAAGAGTCGCCGAGGGTAACTCTACTCACTCAGAAGGATCGAAGCGGAGGACTGGTAAATCCGGCACCGATGCCCAGACCGGCGGGACCAGGATGGCGACACTCATTACGGCCAATCGTGATCGTCCAGAGAGTGACGATTTGAAAAAGGGCATACATAAGACGGTAGAGACGGAGATCCGGTACACGAAAGAGGACAGCGACGCTGCTAGTGGGACAGGCTCTACGAACCAACTTTTCGAACGCAGTCCTTATTAACCCGATTTCATTACGTTAATACACCACATCTGGAGCGGTTATTGATTTCAGCGAGGAAAAATATGTCAAAGAGTTGTTCACTTCAAAAGACGAATTGTCAGAATATTAGAAGGAACCCAAACGTTGGATCTAACTTGAATTCCTCTAATCCTAATTTATTCTTGTATATATTTCATGGAGTTCCTGTTAGCACTGAAGTATCTATAGCATTCTCCAGTCCCACAGAGTCAGAACTTAATAGATCTTTTTTCCAGATAAAACTCCCAAGTTTGATGTGTCATTGATTACGCCTGCTCTGGTTGCTATCAGTGAAATTGGTGCATTCTGATAGCGGTCCATGCCGTTCGTAAATGTCGAGACTATTCAGGCTCTCTGGCAGAGTGAGTGGATGGGGAACACCGGGCTACCGGCAGCAATGCCAATACCCCACTCACACGTAAATAGGAGCCAACGGAGCGGGCGAACCGTCCGTTGGGTCTATTGCAACTCTACAGTAGACTACTTGGCTTCTAGGCGGTCGGTACCTGCGTCTCGGGAAAAAGGGCTCACAAAATAGGATTAGGCGTTTCCGGCTCGACGGGTGATTAAACAAGTGCGCTTACGTGTAGTGTGACATGACTTGCCACTTGATATAGCGACCCGGTACCAGTAGATAGCAGGGAGCAATAAAGATGGGGATAGCTTTTCGTGGCTTCAGCTACCCTAGATTTACAGATATAACGTTAGTAAAGGATCTTAGTGGAATTTGCGTAGGCGCTATGGCTTGAATGACGCTGAAATAGGGGTAATATGATGAGTCGCACATTCGACTAATCGACTTCATGCCAGTGATTTGGAGGACCTCCTCATATACATGAGCCGGACCTTCGTATCCGGCCATACCCCTTGATCTGTATTGTGTACGTGAAGCGACTGGTTAACCAACAACATCTTGAAAAGAAATAAAGGCTGGTTATCACCACCGTCGAATCGATTCGGAATGCGGTATTATGTATAGCTAGCATGAGTATAATAATATCACCTAGCTCTACAGTCTGGCTTGCTCCTTTCTAGACTCCCCTCTAATGTACATCAAGTGTGTAGTGCAACGAGATATAAATCAATTACCCACATCCTTATAGCCTCTTCATAGAGGTCAAAGATAGGAAAGATTCAATGACGAATATTTGGATTTCGTGTTTGACTTAATGGTGTATGTTGGCAGTCAATGGTTCAAAGCGAGGGTGCAGAGCCTAGCTTCGATGACCAAGCGGACAGCAATTTCTCATATTTACCAAACAAGATTTCATTAACAACCAATTTTCATAGTTATGTTCTCCTCGATGCTAAATTTTAGCAAGGTATGAATTTGTTAACGCCTATGATACATCCTTTTACCCTATCAATTAATTTCCCAGTTGCTTTACAATAACACTACAACATACTTTACCCAAGTTTAAATCAGTATCTAGCTTGAGAGCTGCAAGTTAGCAAACCCGAAAAAAATCGTATCTGGATTATCATATATGCATTAATGTTGAATAGTGACAGAGTTGCTGCACAACGCTTGTCCAGGGTCGATCGATATTGCAAGTCCCTTTTCTTGCCATCATCTACGCCCGAATTGGAAGGCATTCATACCGAAGGCGGCTTCTCAAAGTCTCGCAAATATTTCTCGCAATAATTGAAGTTATATCAATATCTAGACGCGTGGTCATGTAGGTCAGGGGAGGCCTGGGTCTCCGACACGCCTTTAAGCTAATGTGCATCCCTTACTTACAAGGTCAGGCCTGGTTCAAATGGTTAGCCAGACTCTAGTGTGGGAACGTGCCTCTTGAGATTCTGACACAATCTGATTATTGCTGTAGCTTTCCCCCCTTAAGGCGTGGCTGATGACCTAGAGCATTCTACCGATGTTTAGTGTGGTCGGACCAAACTTGTAGACTGTGATCCCCCGGAGAACACCACAGAAAACTTATTTGAAGTTTACGTACATTGATGATTGGCTTCAATGAGAGGGCAGAACGTGAGAAGGGCCCGTGGTAGGCATCGCTTCCGTGTCTCGCACTCCGCAGCCACTAGAAAGGCAACATCTGAGCGGAGTCACTTTTTTTTAGCCCAACCCCGCCCAAGCTGATACTATGGAGCTCCGCAACCTCATCAGAACCAAATCGTGCATGATTGCCATAGCGGATTATACCCGTATAGCAGTCCTACAATCATAAGCTCAGAGCGGGAATAAAAAGATCACTTAGGGGAAGTCGACGCAATGGCGCCTAAAACCGACAAGACGGAGGTGGTTGAGCTCTTGAAGACGCTCATGAATATTGAGAGCACCAGCGAGAAGGAGCTTGAGATAGGACAGTATCTCGAGAAGTACATACAGAGTCGCAGCTTCACGGCCGAGAGGATCGCCATTGTCCCAGGTTCTACACGACACAATGTCTATGCTTACCTAGGCCAAGAGCGGAAAGCCAGGCTCCTGGTGACGGCGCATATGGATACCGTACCACCTCATATCCCCTTCAGCATCGACGGGGATGTAATTCGCGGGCGTGGTGCCTGCGACGACCTAGGGCCGATGGTGGCGCAAATCTTCGCCGTGGAAGAGTTGCGCGCCGAAGGAAAGCTGAAGGAAGGAGATGTGAGCTTTCTATGGGTTGTGGGCGAAGAAAAGGGCGGTCCGGGAATGATCGCGGCAAATGACATGGGCCTCACTTGGGAAGCTGGTCTCTTCGCAGAGCCTACAGAGGGAAAAGTAGCGAAGGGGCATAAGGGTAATCTGGTGTTTGAAATCGTCGCTCATGGAAAAGCCTGGTAAGCACGCTGCCGCTATACTTCAGAGCTGAAGATTCGCATTGATGCTGACGACGTGAGCCAAAAGCCATTCTGGATATCCCCATCTGGGTAAGAGCGCGACACTACTTCTCTTCGACGCGCTGAATGACCTCAGAGCGGTTGAGTTGCCCGTTTCGGATCTTCTGGGCCCGTCGACGCTGAACATCGGCAAGATCGAGGGCGGGGCTGGCTACAACATCCTCGCGGCAGAGGCCAAGGCGCTCTGCAGCATACGCGTTTCGAAAGATGTCGAGGCGATCAAGGAGGCCGTGCGGGCTGCGATTGACAAGCATCCTGACGTCGATGTCGATTTCAAGTTTCAGTATCCTGAAATGCTGCTTGAGTGGGAGTTTGAGGGGTTCGCGGCTGAGCCGATGGCGTATGGGACGGATATACCGAGACTGCGAGGCGACCATAGAAAGGTGCTGTACGGGCCCGGCTCAATTCAGGTTGCTCATGGGACGGATGAGTATATCCTTGTCAGCGAACTCATGGAATCTATCGAAAAGAACAAGGTGCTCATATTAGAGCTCCTGAAATAGTCACCTGGGTTAATAATACATATGCGTAATCAGCGTGGTCAGTGTATAAACAGGCAACAACCGAGCTTATATGATTGATTGTACACTCTTGTGACGCTGGATATTTGCTCATCAAGACACAGACAGAGACAGGGAAAACTTGAAAAAAGACAAAAAAGGAGAAAAATGAAATCAATTCGGAAGAATAAAAATTGTAAAAGATTATTAGCAAAAGGAACTCCGAATCGGGGAATCGAACCCCGGGCTTGACGGTTCTGCTGTCCGAAGATTTGAGAGCGTCAAATGTTAGCCACTACACCAATTCGGATTATGTCCTCCATGGCATGTTCTGCTGGGACGTCCGCATACACTGCAACATTAAGTTCAACAGATGATGACTCGAGGGTTAGGGTAGATTCGCCATCCACACTACCTATCCAACCTAATCTTTCGTGCTGAGCACATTCATGACCTTATGTCCCACCTCACCTCCATAGAGTCTATGTGCATTGATCGAATAATCGGCTGATACTGACTGAAGTCTGCTTACCTAACCAACATATACAGACTGCATCCGCGGAATGTGTCTCTGTCTCTGTCTCTGTTTGTAATACGTAGGGTCTGGTAGGGAATCTAACGAAGCCCAGCCAGCAGGGAGCTCACCGACTAACCAGGCCAGACATCAAGGCCACCCAATAACAACACGAGTAATGGTAATACATCACGAAATGCAGCACTCTTCAAACAGCAGATCTCTCACCGAGTCTCTCACCGAGTGCCTGGATAGGGCAGAAGATCGGTTACTGACATCAGTGACGAAAGAGTGTGTACTGGAGCCACGCAGCGCCAAGCTAGCCTTATCCTGTAGTTCTGATGGTGGGGTTGGTTGGCTCTTCACATGGCGAGCATGGCAAGACAGACCCAAGACATCGCGGGACCACTGTGAATTTCGAGCAACTTCTTTCTTGCTTGCTGGTGCTTTCTGTCAACAAACGAAAAGAAAGCTCTGGCATTGCCGACAACTACCCTGACTAGTTGCAACAATCACAGCAAACTAGAACATTGCGTATTGCTGCCTTTCTATTTAATTACCTGACATACCTGTACTAGTTTGATTTGTATCCCTCCCTCCCACTCACTAGCACCTTGTCTACTACCAGTCCTCTGCATTCCGTTCGTCTTTCTACCAAACAATCGATATCCTCTGGTACCTACGCACATATTGCTGTAAGAAGCGCGGCACAACGACACCTACAGATACAATGTCCTCAGGAGCCAGCAATAACGGTGGCAATGGCTTCGCCGGTCAGTCGCATCTTCCCCTCGTACCTTGTCGTTTGCACAACAAGCCTAACTCCTGTAGACCCTGGTATCGTGCCAGCGCCCAAGATCTCCGAGCCGTGGTCAGTCCAGAAGGTGCTAGCCACCATGACTCCGACACCGCCTGCCGAGAATACCGACTCTCCTGTGCCTTATTTCCATATTCTCGAGAGACTGAAGACGAACAAACGTGAGGGATGGCGTCGCTTCAACATAGAGAGGTACCACAACTATTGACACCCGACGATTGTAGCTCGCTAACCCATAGTCAATAATACAGAGGCGAATCCATATCTGATCACATGTACCGCATGTCCCTCATGACAATGCTCTGCCCCCCGACCCTTGCGCCGAAACTCGATCTCTTCAAGTGCATGAAGATGTGCCTAATCCACGATATGGCGGAATCGATTGTGGGTGACATCACCCCAGTAGACGGCGTAGCGAAGCCGGAGAAGAGCCGCCGCGAGGCCGAGACGATGGACTACATATCGAAAAACCTACTTGGAGGCGTCTATGGCGGACTGGCGGGCAAAGAGATTCGCGAAATCTGGCAGGAATACGAAGACTCGGAGACGCTCGACAGCCACTTTGTTCACGACCTCGACAAGATGGAGCTGTTGACCCAGATGGTGGAGTACGAGAAGCGCGCCAACAAGGCTCTCGATCTGGGCGAGTTCGCCTACGTCGCTACGAAGATAGTGCTGCCGGAGACGAAGAAATGGGCCGAGGAGATCCTCAAGGAGCGAGATGAGTTCTGGGGTAACAAGGCGCACGTTCACGGCGAAGCGGGTGTCGATGGTGGTGTGAAGTCGGAAAAGTTCGAGCAACAAAAAGCTTACTACACAAAAGAGAACGGCTCGGCTCCTTAGACAGTGGGCTATCAAGCACTTAAGATCACTACAAGATGGCCGGCTTTGGCCTGTTTCTGAAATCAAAGATGGAAGATAGAAAAGGCGTATGCAGGCATCTACCGCCCTTGCTTCCATGGCGGTAATACAGGGCGAAAAAGCGAAATAGAATATTTGGGAAACGGGTGTATGGACGGATCAGCTAGAGATACCTTACCTACCTTAGAGCTAGACGCATCCTACAAGAGGATTAATCGAATGATGGACTTTGTAAGAATAACATATCGTATTTCGTATTGTCTCCCTTGCTGTAGGTAGCAAGTCGCATTCAGTTGATATAACCCATCCGGACAACAGAATACTGTACCATAGTAGGCCCCTCACTGCCTGGACCAACCCCGCCATATCCCCGCAGCCCCCTAACCAGGGACCCTAAGCACTGTTCCAACAGGGGGGTTCTTATCAGTAATATCAGCAATATGGCCTGTAATATTAGCGACACCCGCTCTGTTCCAGTTCTGTTTTAGGCTGTTGACTAGCGTTTAATTAACCGCATGCTGGCCCAGCAACGCGACCATAACAAGCTCCTTTTTCAAGACGAGAAGAGCGCAAAACCAACAGTCAGCTATTATTCGACCTCCTGAATTCACAGATGGCTATGCTTTCGTGTAGGTAGCTGCTTGATCGTGAAGATTATTTGTATCGCAAGTTGTGTGTGCTTGAACGAGTCCCGCGCAACGGCCGATGCCGATGCTTTTGTCATTCCATTCTGTCAAACAAGCTTTACGATAAATCCCTACAAATCCCTACCTAGTTTGATACCTACGTCACACACAGCTACAACGGTCTTAAAGTCGTTGGGTCATGTGTCTTACGTCCACGGGGGGCTGAGACCTGCAGAGCAAACACCACCACCATCACCACCAATACCACCAGTCCTACACCGGTACTACAACGCGACACCATTTGCCCGCCCATGGCCGCCTAGCCAAGCGTTTGTCCCTCTCGCGCGCCCTTCCCTTCACACCTTTTCTCTCTCTCTCTCTCTCTCCTCCCTTCCGTCGCTCGCTCGCTGCGTCTTCCCATGTGTGTAGGCACGTAGATACGCGAACGGAATATCTGCCTGGCGTCTATTCATCCACCAGCCACGCCACGGGTCGGAGAGAGCGAGTATTGCACGTCGCAAGTGTATGACCGGCCGCCATCATTTAGCTAGCAGACCTATTGTGCGAATTCTGACGGGGCCATACACGGGATCACGCGCGTCTCTAGCCTCGGCACATTGATTCAACCGAGCCTCCTCAACAACAGCTACAACCAAAGCTACAACTACAGCTGCAGCTACAGCTACGCCTACGGAAACCGATCACCTTGACCACGACAGATTTGGCCGTAATTAAAATATCCTCTTTTCACAAATTGCTCCGACACATAGACGGCCGTTCTCTTGTGCTACTGTTTGCGCACGCGTTGAAAGAGTTTCGGCCGTAGCGATACGAATCCAGTCTTATACACCAAATCCGCCATCACTTTGGCTTTTTCGCGGCAGTCTGGTTCCTAAGGGTCGGAAGTTCCCCAAAAAAATCCAAAGAAAACCTTACTTATTAGCTTTCCGATACGCACGCCCCGCGATTGAATCCGATAGCCTAGCAACCGTACTAGCAATGCCATACAATTCCCAAATCCTCATGTCTGGAACTTTTCATCTTGACCTGCCGCAGGGTAGCGGCGGTCGAGGCACTTCCTTTTCGGCCGTGCATCCGGGCATCTTCCAACCTCCGACCTCACCATCCGTATCGAGTTCGGTGTATCTCGGTAGATCTACTGGAAGCTTGCAATCAGAGACACTTACGCCAATCTCAACAGCCAAGAGAAAACGCATAGGGCCCAAGGAATCGACACCTCTCCGTGACTGGGGAATGGCGACCGATACAGACGACATTATCGGCGATCGCTATGACTTCGACTTAAATACCTGTGGGCAAGACCGGCGATACGTATTAGCTGGTCAGATAGACACTCCAGATGGAGGTATTCAAAGAGAGCTTGGGTGCCTTGAAGACAGTGTGTATTCTGATGTCGACTATAGGCGTGCCCTTGGACCGAAACAGCCCTATAACGGCTTTGTCGACTCTCCTGAGTTGAGGCCCATGGAAATCGACTCGAATAATGACGGCTCGGGTGGATGGAGTGCCTTTGCAATCACTACGATCGGTGGTGTCGTTGGCAGAGTATGGCAATTTTGCAAGACTGGATCGTTCCGTGGCTTCTATGCTGGAGGTGGCATAGGATACGAGATGTCAAAAGCAGTGGGCCAACCACAAGCGGCTGGGCACATGGGAGCTGATGGATATAGAGCCAGCGTCGGTATTCACGGACACGAGCCCAGCCTCCTTGACGGAAATCAGCTGCAGTCTGATTACTATGAACACGGGACGCCAGAGTCGACGCCTCCCCCACCGGCGAAGCGAAGACAAATCTCACATGGCACACCAACTGATGAGCTACGGAAGAACTGGGTCATGATTGATGAGCCAACTAACGTGAATCGACAGTCATCCCTTGCATCACGAGCGTCGTCACGCCAACCGGTACAGCGAACGACAGCACCGTCACTTGTTCGTCGCATCAGCAAGCCTGTAAGCCGCCTCAACGCTCCGAACTTCAACCGTCACCCTCCTTCCCGACCGAGTTCTGCTAGCGCCGGCCCCATCTCGAGCCGCGAATCGGCAAGCTTCGCGTCGACTAGGTCTCCAATCGCGTCACCGGTTATCACATCACGCACCCCTAGTAGAATCCCTGTGGCCTCTCGGGCACAGTCCCCCAGTACATTTGGAGGCAGTCAGTTTGCGCCACAGCCATCTCGGATACCGAGCCCTAGTCCCTATGCAAAGCGTAGTCACAGGAGGAGCCAGAGTGCTGTGTCGGCCTCAGCGGTCTCACCAATGAAGATGAAGAAAAGAGAATCGCTGCATGAGATGCACGATAACAGCCCAAGACTTGATGCTAAGGCTAGAAGCCTTGCAGCCAAACGAATGCAGAATGAGATGGAGACTGACATGCGTATCAATGACTTCAACAGCCGGCTGAGAGATATGATCCGTCAGGGCAAAGAGGCCTTAGGTACAACGTATGAAGTGGAGTCAGACAACGATTATGGGCACGGAGGAGACCCCTGGGAAAGCGAATGATGAGTCTCATCGTGGAATACTAACTCCGGATGCTTAGCTGGATGAGTATCTCAAACAAAACCCTTGGCTAATATTTCTTTTCTGGCGATCATACTCACTCTGTCACCCTGATACCCCATGAAATGGTCACTTTCGATTGCCCCTAAAATTTGCGCCTCAAGTCCCCTGATCAAGGGGCTCTTGTATATACAATCTTGTCATGACTTGATGATTCGATGTTTACGTCTTCTCTCTGAGGCATCCACTCACCAACCAAAGTTGATGCTTTGCTCCTCTTGTATGATACACTTTTTATTTTCTCACGAAAACACTCTTTTTGCTGTACACATCTAAAAGACGGATCGGATCCTCTTTCCCCACGGATGGGTTTTTAATTTGGCGGATAGTCTAGTCTAGTCGGCTTTGTTCAACGAGGATGCCTGAACATGGTTTCAGTTGGACGATAAAAAGATAATTGATTGGGATGCGCTGATAATTTGAGAATATGCGCAGTGATTTACTTCGTGTGATGATTATACGTAGTAGATGAAATACTTTTCAACCCTCATTCGACTACGCCTTCCATTAAAATTCAGCTTCGAATTCCTACCTCGCTCACTCGCTTGCTCCCATACCATACCATACCATACCATACCATACCATGCATACATAAAACCAGGGTACAAATTGGTAGTTTAGAGATTTAATTCTTGATCTCTTGCTTGTGGAATAGTCCTGTGTATATACCCCGTAAGTTCCTATCGCCGATCGATCAAGTACAAGGATTAAGTCCATCGTGACTAGCTAGAGACGGTAGACGAGAAAAGAAGAACAAAAAGTGAGGGAAGGGGAAGGGGAAGGGGATAGGAAAGAGGGAGGAATATTTACCTTCAATCGAAGGCATCCATGGATCCCGCATCTTGCAGAAGAACTCGCCCTTCGGCGCGACTTGGCCGCGCGCGTGGTCGTCCATTGTCCCGTAGAAGACGTAGATGTTGTCGCCGGCGTTTGCCTGGGGTTTTAGTATTGAATTAGTTGATGATGAAGTTTCTTATTCTTATCTTTTCTTCTTTTGCTACTCCCTCTTCTCTTTCTCTCTCTCTTTTTTTTCTTTTCTTTTCATTTCATCTTCCCTTCCATTTGCGCGATAGGTAGACACAACAACTTAAACTTACCCCGTACTCCAACAAGCTGCCCCCGCACGTCCCGCAGAACTCGCGATGCAGCGTGACGCCGCTGCCGTTGTCGGCCTCGTGCACGCGGACGCTGTCCCGGCCCCGGTCCACGGAAAACGAGGACCGCGGGACCTTGGTCGTTATCCCGTAGTTGCCGCCCGTGAACCGCTTGCAGTTCCCGCAGTGGCAGAGGCTCGTGCGCGCTTGCGACGACGGGTCCGAGAGCGTGATGGTGTACCGGATTGCGCCGCAGTAGCAGCCGCCGGGGAGGGGTGGCATTTTTGATTTTCACTCTGTGGTTCGCGCGGGTGTGGTTAGTGATTGGGTGTTTAGAACTCGAATTGGAATTGTTTTTATCTATTCTGATGTGTATCTTTACTTTCTTGTTCGAAAGGTCTCTGAATCGCTCTGTTCCTTACGTGTTTTGCCTCCTAAGTTGGCATTGGTCGGTCTCCTATGACGAAGTCGCTACGTCATTGACCTATATACAATTAACTGGCACCGTTTACAGTTGAGCAGAAGTAATCGCGAAAACTGTTTATCTATCACTTTGCAATACGACTTTGAAGAGTTGGTTTCGAGATTTCCTGTGATTTATTATGTGAGAGGGCACAGCGCGTAAGTTGATCTCTTTCCGCAGTTAGCGGGCCACATAACGGAGCCTTGATAATGCCGGCAACCCTAGAATATCTACATAGGACACAATATATGGCATACGAGTATAACAAGGGCAGATAACTGGGCTTGGAACTTGTTGCTATTCAAATTACAATGATCAACTATCTAGGGCTGCATGTGTCCACCTCCCTCTTGGCTGTTAGTGGCTTGACTCGACTCTATATACAGCTGGTCTGCCAGCCCAGACCGCCTAAGTCTCATGGGTCTGTTTCAAGAAGCGGAGTCTGTATAACCTCACTTTCCAATATTGCCTGCATGCCTTTGAATGATCATGAACAGCCTGCAATGGCCTTTCGTTCGGCGGAAGTGCAAGGCGAACTGCATATTCAGCTAGTACGCATGTGACAACGAGTCCCAATTATATGCTCTTAATAACCAGCTTAGCACGCGGAGAGCGGCACTACCTTGTTGTGAGGCTTCATTCACCATCTGTAGTGATAATTTGACATGGGATCCTGTCTACAAGCATTCGCCACATCATATCTAGGTTAGTTCGTGGCTGAGATTATGCTCCGGCCACAAGATGCCATCTAGAACTATCTAGTCTACATAATAGTACTTCCCGGTTTTCGATATGGTAATTGAGTCAGTTCTGCCCGGGCAGCAGATCTTAGGTAAAACTTCCCACGTGCGGACGTTCCGCAAGTTCCTGGCAACGGTTTCGCCACACGTATGGATTCGATTGTTAATGGAGAATACGGACACCCATCGCCATCGGTATTCGGAACGGACCAAAATTATCACCGATTATTTCTTCTTAGTGATCTGATACCTAGAGAGCTTTCTCCCTTCCTTCTCATACATTGAAAGAGGGGAGTGTGAATTTACTCTTCGGAAGATTGATTTACCGGAGGCTAAGCATGCCACTATGCTAACGCCAGAGGCATTTATCTTTCATCACGGCGCAGGGCTCTAGCTCGATATATCCTTAACACTATACAATTTATAGATCTATCACACTTCATGTCAGGAGCCTGTTATTTTATCATGGGATGCGCAATGATCCAAATCTCTTCTCTGAGCTACACCGTCTTCATACGTAATGATTAGAGCGCCTAATCAATTGCCGTTGGTAAAAGTGCTAATACATGTTAGCTGTGATGCTACGATATAAATTACACGACGAAGCGACTCGGTGAGCAGAGTTTAAGCTACGATAGTCCTCCCGTTCTTAGTTCCTAGACCAGAGCGATTCCAGCATACCTACTAAGTAAGTAGTATCAGGGCTACTTTAGAAATGTATCATAGTGGCACAAGTTGCCACTTGCAATGTCTTTAGATGTAAACACATGCTGCAAGCAAGGCATGAACTTGATGTAGGATGCGATCAAGACAATTTAGGACAAGCGAGCTCTAGTAAGCTCTATAATCGCGGCGTTAGGTTCGAGGCTAATTCGTATCTTGCCTGCAGCAACAGGGAGGATTGGACTCGCGGAGATAACTATGTATACATAGAAAATCATAATTTACATATCCTTTGCTCGAACTCGGCAGGCGATGTGGTTTATCGTGTTACTTATAAGTTTGGTCAGGAATATCTATTTTGAGTTTTGCACCCTGTAAATATAACCTTAGGATAGATTTCCGATGCACCTAAATATACTATGTGTATGCAAAGACATACTTAAGAAGGATAAGTATACATCCTGGAGCCGTTGCACTAATCTAGTGTAAGTCCTTGCCGGGGTAACAACAGTACCGAATATCCGGAACCGATCTTCGACAGTCAAGAGAGCTAATATACAACCGCAAAAACATACGACTCTTCCAAGATCTACAAGGCGTAGAAAGTTCTGGCCCGGCTACCGCCAAGCCAATAAATAGGATGCGTCCAGCTAGTAAAGTTCCGGGCCTAGGTTTGAGCCGGGGCGACGCGCTAGAAGCCTGATAATTACGGGCACGCTGGATCGTCATGGTCGCGGATCTCTCTCAAGCGGCGTGCGGCCGGTTGGCCTGCGGTCAAGTCGACTGCCCCAAGGTGGTCATACGCCAATTCAAAGAGGTAACAACAGGTACGAGGGCAGGGAATGCAGAAATATGGGGTTTGGGCTCGGTCAATTCAATAGACTATTCGTTCATGCTTCTAGTTTACTTAGGCAGTTTTCGATCATGTGCATGTGAAAGTTAGCTAGTCATCTATGTTCCTACTCAGCTAGCTCCCCCACTCCCATTGCCCTCGAGATCGGGATCGAGATCGAAGACAAAAGCTTTCCCTTGCCTTCCATAACCATCACGCAACGTCCGACTCTCCGGGGAAATCAGACAATAATATCCGGGTGTTTCGTGCCAGTCGGTGTTGTGATGTGTATAACGAATGGTTGTGTAGCAGCAGTCATATTCGCTCCCGTCGTCTCGATCTCGAGATGGCCACCGCCATGGTGACGCCCTACTTTCCGCGGAGCGGGTCCTCGCATACCTCAACCCTTCTTGTCCAGCAACTGCCACCACCACCGAAGGTTGTAGGTCCGGTATTCGATGAGATACATGCTAAAGAGCCTATCCCAGCCTTTGATGAGAAAGCCTATGCGCAGCATTATACCGGGCCGTCTGAATCTGGAGAGGCTCTCCCACCGCCCGCGCCCGTTGAGTTTCTGGATAGGTATCTCGTCCCGACGCTGGCGCGCAACGAACGCCTGCGGCTGACGCTCCTCTGGTATCATACTAAAGATATCGAGAAAGATGAGAGTCTGTTGGCCGAAATCAGTGTTTTAGTTCGAAGTGCACAGAAATTCGTCGGGTGGGAGTATGCCATCGCAGGTATTCTCAATGAGTCCTCTTACAGGCGGTTGGCTACTGTAGGCTTACCGCTGGCCCTTCTGCCTCGCAGGGAAAGCACATGCTCCCATACTATCAATCAAGCAAAGCTGGATGATGTATTCATGGTCCTCGACATGAGTAAAGATTGGCGTTTCCGACATTCACCACATAGTGAGATTGGTGGCTTGAGAAGTTATGCGGGCGCACCTTTGAGACTAACCGCCGATGATGGAACTGAGGTCCCTCTAGGAAGTCTATGTGTAGCTTCCGACACTCCACAGAAACCCCTAGCAGCGGTGAGTTGGCTTGGTGTGCGCTCTATTTTGTCACCTCTAACTCCTTGAGAATTTGACTAATTGCCTTCAAAGAGCCAGCAAGAGTCTCTCATAAGCTTCTCAGAGCTTATTAGCACTGCTATTGCGAGTCATACGCGGCAGCGGAGGCTCAAAAAGAGGCAAGAGATGACCGATCTCCTCACCATTCTACGTTCAAAGTTAGATACCGAAGACTATGAAGAAAGCTCAGTGGCTATCATTCAACAAGCCTACCCCAGAGCTCACGTAGCCCTTCCATCCGCCCTAGATGGTCAAATACCAGTGGAGGGTAGGTCAGCTATCAAGCTGTCAGACGTAGAAGGAGGTCTCTGGGAGGATACAGCACTAATCGAGCATACAATCATGGCTGCAAACTTCGACGATCTGCACCCGTCTCAAACCGTCCGTGCAATCGTCGCGCGTTGCGGAAGCACCGAGAAGTATGTTGTTGTCTCAGGTCTCGACATACATCACGTCTTTGACAACTTTGACGCATGGTTCATTTTTAAAGCGGCGGCTATAATAGCAGATATCCTTCAAAACCGACTTCTTCGGCAAGCTTTAGCTGCAAAGGAGACGTTTCTACGTGGAATTACTCATCAACTTCGAACACCTATCCACGGCGTCCTGAGCTCAACAGAGCTCCTCGCCGAAGAACTCACCGCACGAGGATTACTATCACTGACCGATAGCAATAGTTCTTCTGTCTCACCGGCTACATGCATTAGCACAATACGGAACTCTGGACAAGAGTTAATGAGAACCGTGAATAGTATTCTTAAGTACAATGCATGGGCGGATACTACTCGCCGCACATCCAATAGCCCTTACGACCTAAGACAACTCGAGTGCGATATTCTTCCCGATTCACTTTCACTTGTCCTAGAGGATCACCTCCACGGAATCTCTGTCGAATTTCGCAATGAGCTGAGACATTGCTGCTTCATGGTTACAGACCCAGGCCTTCTCAAGGACTGTCTTCGGGAAATACTCCTGAATGCTATACAATCAGTTGCTGGTCGGCCACTGGGAACTGTGACGTTCACTATGCGGGACACTGAGAATGCGGCAAACCTGATTTTCGACGTGGTAGATAACGGCGTGGGCATCGAAGCAAAAGATCACAAGTCTATCTTCCAGCCTTTTTATAAAGTTGACGATTTCAAACTTGGGGCTGGACTTGGCCTTACTCTGGCCAGGCATATCGCTACTGGCTTGCAGGGCACAGTGAAGCTGGTGGCCTCTTCAACGGAGCTCGGGTCTCACTTTCGAATAGAGTTCGAGAATCCCCTCATCGATTATCGCCAAGATATTACTCCTACACCCGAGATCAAGCTTCAGCATTTGCCTCGGACGTTTCATTGGAAATGCAGCGGGACAGGCTACACACATTTTGCTGCCCACGTCACGAGATACCTCCAACTCAATAAATTCCAACAAGGCACAGATGCCAATTTGGGTCTCATATTTGCCAATACCGATATCGACCAATTGCGCGTTGCATATCCTTTAGCTGTCATTGTTGTGCTTGGGAAGGCCAATATCAGTGCCGACACTTGCCTTGAACCAGGTATATTCTATTTGACCGGTCCACTACATAGGGCGGCTTTGAAAAAGATGCTGCAACAAGCGGATATCATATATCAAGCACTCGCAGACAAGAATACTCATTGTGATTCCGCTCAAGTGGTCCCGGTCGTAAACGACACAAGTGTTGGCGTTGTCCCAACTACAACGATTGCCAAACTTGCTTTGGATAGTCCACCCTTACAGCGTGACTGCGCCGATCAACCCGTGAGAGCCTTACTTGTCGATGATAATCCAATCAATCTTCGAATCCTCAAGATGTTCTGCAGCAAACGAAATATTCCCTACGCCACAGCCGAGGACGGTAACATAGCGATTGACCAATTCATAAAGGGGGTCGAAAGCAATGAGCCTTTCACTCTCGTGCTAATGGACCTCCAAATGCCTAATTGTGACGGCATTGAGGCGACTAGGGCAATTCGCGCATATGAACATAAGCATGAGCTATGGAGGTCAATCATTTTCATGGTGACAGGCCAGGACTGGGGTAAAGACAAAGCTGCTGCGCAAGACGCTGGTACAGACGTTTTCTTGATCAAGCCCGTTTCACCCAAGATATTGGATACACACGTTGCAAAGTTCTTCACATCTTTTCGACCTCCTGGGGGCTGAAACGCCAAAACACTTCATCATAACATGATCATTCGACAAGACGCTTAGCGAACCATATATCACGAGGACACCGGGCCCATCATCACATCGTCACGCCAAGTTTATAATATCTATATCAATACCCATTTCTTCTTGAGCGTCTCTATGTTGAGATGCGCTCACCCGTGAATACCATATACCCCGCGGATCCCCAGCCTCGTCTTACTTGGTAACAGACTCCTACAACGCATGGATACGCAAAGCAACCAAGCAATCACTTGTTGCTACATATGCGCATTATACACTTACCATGAAAATAGCCTGCGTGTTTGGCGGTCAAGAACATAAATGCTGTCATCTTTCGACACAGTCGAATACTTTTCACCTGCCCTTTAACGCGGTAGAAACTGCCATTCCCACAGCCAAGATATCAGCAGCGAATAGAACATAGTAAGTATAAGAGAACGTCCATCGCAGTAGATAGGCACCCCGCCGTTACGCTACATAGCGTCTTGACCGAGGGTCCAAGCTCTTCAGCATCTCTTACAACGGCCAGGGCTTCTTCATTTGATCATGACGAAGTTATACTTCGCCAGAAGAAGAACAGCAACCGCCATTAGCTTTAATCTTGAAGACATCACACGGCAACCACATTGTTTCATCACTTACTAGATGAGGAAAGAACACGAATATGCCGATTCTCAGATACTAAATTATACAAGGAGCCCACATAGTCAATTGGCGTAGCCCTTGCCTTCTCAAGAGCTTTGAGCCTTGCGTAACTACTAGAATAGATAGTTAAATAAACAGTGAAATATCTATGCAAGGTCTAATATTTGACGTGGTGTTAAGATGCTGAAGAGGAAAATACATCATTGTCCAACTACTACCTAATCTGACTTGCTAGGGATAAAAGCAGCGATTAAATGGATTCTTTAGTCTCAGGAAGGAAACTATCTTTCCGTAAGAAGTAAGTGTCACTCACGATAAAGTCAGCCTGCAATGCCACAGACCTGTACAGCCCTGGTAGATCATTAAATTATGAATAGCATCAATCCAATCCCAGATCCTTGCCCTGGTTACTTAAACGACAAGAGGTACACTTCCTAGCAAGGATAATGCGACTTCAGTGTATAGTACTGACAATCATGTCATTGGTACCTCAGCTAGTAGAGAGAGCAACCAAGCAATCAATTATTGGGAGTGATGATGTCCATTTCCTCTGACAAAGCCATGATAGCCTTTAGGACCTCTTGTAGTCCAATTCAGATGCCGTATCCGTTAATCATATCGCGATTCCGCGAGGTCAGATTTTGCATATTCTTCCCAGGTCCTATTTCAAGATAACCGTAGTCTCGAGCATATCCTATAATGGGATTTTCTGCTCTTACCAAAACGTACACCCAGGAGGACAAATCTGGATGTTATCTTTCACCCTGACTTTGTACCATTTTTTCGGAACGACATTATACCCCTTCTCCCACTTCTTGCTCCAAACCCAGCCGCTCTGCCACTCGCCGCAGGTCTCGTTGAGTATCGACTGCACTTCATCCAGCTCCCACCGAGGAACCGCGTCCTGCCAGATAAGCTTGCAGTTGCAAACATACCATGTGACGCCTTTCTCGTCCTCCTGGCAACATGCTTCGCTGTGGACATCCTCCGGACAGCTTTGTCCGTAGTATAACCCAGGCAAAACTCTTCCACCCACATCCGACCAGGTGATCATGCTCTCTTTTGCACCTAGAAAGTACTCTTTCTCAAGCTGATCACCCATACATTTCTTTGACGTCACAGGGATTCGTTTCTTGCGATTCAGGAGGCCGCCTAGGAGGTCACGTGTGATGTTGGAAGTCAGGCCCACGGTGCTGTTCCACGGCAAGGCGATAGTGATCGGTATTGCGCAGAGTGCGCTGAGGGCGGTGAAGAAGATCGCGATCCGCATGGTTGCGTTTGTAATGGTATGGTGTAACGGGATGTTGTCTAATGGTGGGCAAAAGGTTGACGGGAACGAGTTACTGTAGTAGTAATTTTGCCGAGTCTGGGAAGATGCGTAGCGCGGAGAAAGACAATTGTAGTATTTTGGATGAGCTCTTCTCTCCATGCTTCCACCTAAATAGTTAAATATTATGTACGCCATATTTGTACTTTTCAATGCATCGTACATGAGATGGTTTGTGGCTCCAAACCTTACCTTCAAACTTTGCCACTTGTTTCAGAGATGCAGTGGTGCTAAACCCTACGTTAGCAGTATAAATCAAAATTCTAGAATTTAATTCACTAGACTGAATGTCTTTCTTAGTGTCGCATATATTGTCCGCGTAGCTACGCCCTTCTTCATTGGGAATGATTAACTATAACCATCAGTGTACTATTGATTACTTGCATATCTTGAACTTCCCTAATGAGAGCCAGGATGAATTTTAATGGCTTATCTTCTCCCGTACCTTTTGATGTTGTTGATGAATCAACCCGATATAGATAGCCACTCATATGAGAAACCATAGAACGCAAACGGTTGCGAGCTGGGCTAGGCTCAACCGAACGCTTATATCCAACATTGGCGAGCTTGCTCACAGTTTCGCTGGAAGCTGCTCCAGGAATCAGATCAGCAGGCAGACTATCGGGGTAAGTGGTGATAATGACATCTTCAGGACTATCGAGAGGGATGCTAGACGAAACTGTTGCGGCCAAAGTAGAAGCTGCCAGGCCAGCAGCGGCAATGAGGATAGCGCGTGCGTGCATTTTCCCTTTTAAAAGATCAACGATAGCTTGGAGGATACCATGTGCGATGATATGCCAAGCACATTATTCGAAGTAAGCCGACAGGTACAGCTCAGGGGTCACGGGCGTCAGCTTTCGCACGTTCGTCGCCTTCGGAATTCACGAGATGGCCATAGAGGTTTTCTCATGCACTGAATGTTTTACGAATTCAGTGCCTTGCTAGGCATTGGTGAGGGAAAAATTATCAGAAGTTATTGAATGTGCCACAACAGCGATATCGTGACATAAACTAGGTATGCAGTCATGGAAAGCGAAGTCAAAATTTTCATTTCGATTCGAGGCATGTCTAAAACAACGTAGGTGGTCATATTATTGTCAAAATTCGATCACAAATAGAACTAAGTATCTGATTCTATTAGTCACATGAGCAAAGGCATTAGAACAGTATGCATATATATACACAGATAGCCTTCAGTAACCATCATGGCTATTACTACCTTCGCAGCATATAATGGTTAAGATCTACATTAGACGTGTCTGCAACACTTAGCCCAAAGAATCATGGTGTATATGAACTCGGTCCCTAAACGCTCATCTCGAGCTCAATGAGTCTAGGTGACTTCTTACCGTTACTAAGATAACCGAATACTTTGCACTGAGTATATGAAATTGCTAAGCATACGTGGTCCTTGATACTAACTCACTTCACCGGATCAGTTTCACTGATGTAGCAACTCAATACTCGCCATATACTAGATGTTGCCTCTATTGACCCCCGTAAGATACTCTATGTGACATTCATTCTAGTCGGCGTTCTACTATCGTTGCGAAGCCCGAACACACTTCGAAGAACCATTCATCGAGGACAAAGGCTAGACCTTCTGGGAACAGGGACATGAATCTAGAAAAAGTTGATAATATGGGCGTGGGATACTTCATCGTTCCTTTTCTATATAAGCAAGTTCCATCCCCAGAGCTCGCCATTCCTATAACCAAGTATATAAAGTTCCTCTTTCCAATCCGAAAGCCTTGATTTCTATATCCAACGTAGTGCCACATTCTTAGAAAATTGGCCGCATATTCTCCCCATCCATGTCCGTTCCCAAGCCTCATAACCTAGTAACACAACCAGCTTTTCTGAATATTCTATCAGCCGTCACACCGTCTATGTTTTTAACCTTTCCATATAACCTCACGCATAATGTATCTAAACTTATCTCGCGTTCTTTCGTACTTCAAGCAGACATGCCATGGTCCCGCCTGTACCATCTAAGGGTATCCATGCCAGTCTGGACACGCATGCCGATTCTCCCGTCTAGAAGATAACTCTCCCACCTTGCGACTTTATCGAGCCAGGATTGGCAGTCATATATCTTCTTCCTCGTCTCAGCCGCTGTTCCCGTATGTCCCTCGACCCACGCAAGGACAGCCATCTCATAGTGAGCGGCGGGCGGGATATAATCGTCCATGTTGGAACCTTTGAAAGCAGATCTGGAGTGATTGTCAGCCTTAAACTTGTAGATAATAGGTTAGTGGGAATGCAGGTCTCACCTATCCATTTGCAGGACGCCCTGGAGCTTATCCCTGGCCTCGTCGAACTTCTTCAGACTGCGCAGGATAGCAGCGTGGCATAAGTCATGGAGTGCCTTCTCGTCTATCTCGGCCTGGAGTTTACCACGAATCTCTTCCGAGCACGTGAGTCGGTCCCAGGACAGATCCGTAGCCGCACTCTCCAGCTCGGGGGGTTGCATCTTCTTAAGACCATTCCAAAGGTAAACCATTTCCTGAGCTGGACTGACGCCGATTGCGTCGACTAGATCAACAGACCACGAGCTCGATCTTTCCTCCCACTTTCTCAATTTTCGGACGACAAATTCTTCGAATGGTAGTGGTCGAGCCATGAACTTCTTCTTACCGGCCACAGATGGTACCTTCTTAAAGAGCTCTTCGGCCTTTTTCTTATGGACGTTGATCTGCGGCTCATCTTTCGGGTTACTGAGGCAGGCGTTTCGGTACAATTCCAGTTCCGAGGCGCCGGCCAGGTAGTAATAGAGAGCGGGGCTCCATTCGTTAAGCTCAATGCATCGAAGATAATCGTCCCGAGCGTGTGACCAATCTCGTACGTAAGTCGAGTCCAAAGACATCTCGAAATTGTTTAGAGCAGCAACCTGCTTCATCTTGGAGTGGTTGTTCTTGAGGATATCTAGCGCGCCAGTAAGATCTCTCTTATTTGATAGGCTGCGGGCTTCCTCAAACCGCCAAAGACCGCTATCCGGATACCTGCGCCGTAGCCTAACGAGGAGCGCTGAGAGTCTCTCGGCTGGATAGCCTACAATCGCGCCCTTCTCAACGTCTGCCTCAGAGGGAAGGATATCGGCAAACCCTAACAGGCCGTTATAGTAAGCGAGAAGCATCAGCCCGGCCACGGCTCCATTAATATTTTCGAATCGGGAGCTTCGCCAAAGCATCTCGATCCCACGTTCACGGTCACCCCTGAAGCCGATGATTGAGAGCAACCTTGAGAAGGCTGGGGGCACGAGTGATATGATGAGAAGTAGGACACCAAAACACATGCTTGTTCCGCTATAAAGAATGTAAGTGTGTGTTTTGAGGCCATTGAGTTGATTGGGGGAGAATAAAAGTGAAGGAAGCGAATAGGTAGCAACAAGGGTAAGGTAACGGTATTGGTCAGTGTGGGAAGTAGACTTGCTACTGTAACAATCACTGGACTTACGAATGAATAAAAGCATCAATTGGGTCAGTGAAGATGTCAGAATCAGGACCACTCTCGAAGCCGTCGCGGGAAGGCAAATCGCGGGGCATATCCTTCGTTTCTGAATTGCTCTCCCCATTTAAAGACAAGTCACCCAGCTTCTTTTCGGCCTCATCAGCATCACCGTTAGATAGATGACCTGCGTATTGCAATGGTGTTGGTGTGCCAGAGTGGGATTCTTCTGCATCCAAGAACTCTGGTTCATCATCATCGTCAAACCCACCGGGCATCTTCTCATGGTCCTTGGGATTAGCAGTACTGACTGCAGGCTGGGTTGATGTAGGTTGTAGTCCACGTTTCTTCAAATAGGCGCTTTCGGCTTGTATGATACTGTCGAGGGCTATAAAGGCCTTCCGTAGTTTGTAGAAGCTCTTTATTCCTTCAGTGAGACTCTCATGCAAGACCCCGATAATTGCGCTCATGAGATAAGACTCGGCGAGTACTAATTGGTACTCACTACCAGGAGGGTAGATCCTTTCAGCCTGTGACTTGCTCGCCTCCTTTTCGGCCTTTTTGATTTCATTCCAGGCCGACGTCTCACACTCGTTCAAGCGGCTACTAGCCTCGGCCATAATGGACTTCTCGAAGCCCAAAATGCTCTTCATGAACACGCACGTGCTCATGCCAAATGAATGAAACGTTGAGCTAGTCTGCTTCAGGTGTTCTTCAGCCCCATCTATATCATCGTTCATGATGCGGTCAGCGCCGGCAATGGCATCTTGGAGAAGGGCCACGGTCTGAGCTCGGAGGTCAACTTGCGAGGTACCTGGGCTGGAGTTCTTGCTTGACTTTGGGGTAGAGCCCCGAAACCAGCCGCCGAGTAGACTCATGTCGGAGCGCCGGTGAGTGAAGCGACGTAAAATGTACAGCGTCTGCTCATGAGCGTAATATCGCGTGCTCTTACGTCGGTGTAGAGTTCCCCGACACCCGAGAAGACAGGACCTAGTTATGAAGGGTCCAATGCAATAGCTCGGATGTTCGATAAGGTATTTTCAAGAGTAACAATATCCGAATGAGCCGACTGGAAGGAAACTGGGACTAGACTAGACAAGACAGTGGCGAGCGAGGAATCAGAACAATGGCGGACAACTACAAACTAAGCACCGACTCATTCGCCCAGATTAACAAAGGCCAGGGCTGAGGCTAAGGCTACACTACAGCTCAACGCTGACGCTGGCGCTGGCGCTTGGCTCAGACCCTCCTCAGGATGGATGATGACGGAGATAAATGCGGGCGAGTGGGGTCGATACGGTTGGTCATCCACGGATCTGCTGCAGTGCGCGCGATAGTGTAGGATTTGGAAATGCCAGTGACTACATTGGTGAGATGATAGGAATGGATGGATCGTACGTGAGCAAGGGAGGCTTAGGTATGTTCTACCTGGTTACCGCAGGCTTTTCGGTAAGGCACATTTCGGGGTCCTCGAATCTGCTCGAACCTCTCCATTTTGACAAGGGACGAAAAAGCGCTCACCTTTGAATACACTAAGATATATGACAAAAGACGCTCGAATTCTTACCTGCATTCCTAGGTAACAGGGCCGTGTCAAGACGGGCATTGCTCCGCCTCTTTGGAGGTGACGTCAAAGCCACAAATATCACTGCCATCTCATATTCATGGATAATGTTACCCCGTCGCCTAGACTTATATGCAACGTACAATGAAGGATACACAATTGTAGATTCAGCGGGCAAAGCGCGGAGGGATGCAAATACAGTCAATACCTACCTAGGTAGGTAGGGACGGGATTGCCCAAGTCGGTGATAGGTAGTAGAATCACGCTCAGTCACCGACCCGGCTCGGAGACAGCTACCTAGGCAACCCTATAATTATAAATTATAGGCCATTCGACGCTTTACGGGAGGTATAAGCATGCTGTTATAGCACTACTTAGGCACCTATAGAAGTCTATTAGGCGGTTCTTCTCAGAGGTTGTTACCTACCTAGGTAGGTAGGTCGGTAAGGTTGATTCCACCCAGGATGTAGGGCGGCTCACCCCTCCCCACACAGCGCGGCTTACCCCTATGGTCAATGCGCTATATAAAAAACCAAAAAGGTTAGATCAATTTAAGTACATTAGTTTTGAAAGTACTTATTTAACTGCAGCTATATTACATTTTATATCTATATATTAACTTTATCTTAATTGCATTTTAAATACCTATAAGTATAATATAATATATTAATAGTAAAACCCTTTAAATGTTAAAGTAAATTAAGGCAACTAATACTATATAGTAAACCTTTAATATAATAAAAGATTTTACTAGGTGTTACAACGGGCGCGATGTGCAGTGTTATTAGTAAATATTGGAAACACATTATTAATTATAAGGTGACGAAGTAAAGGATGACTTGCTAGGTTATAACCTTCGTCAATTAAGCTATATACGTTACGGTAGGCTAAATAGGCTTCCGGAGGTCCGGCAGGGCTATTAATTAAGCTACAGAATAGAACTATCACCCGTACATCATCCGTACGGCTAACCTAAAGGCTAGGAGCCGTAACTACCCCCGTAAAGGTCGCAAACACCTAAAAATAAATATAAAAATAACCTTGTATAACTTTTAAAGCAATAGCTATCGCTTTTATTTATAAAACTTAATATATTCTCTTTAAAGTAATAACTTATAATTAGCTACTATATAACTTAATCCGCTATAACATTTATATTTATTATAATTTTATTATTTTAAACGTTTTTATATAGTAAAATAGGTAGCCATTTATTTAATAAGGGTTTAAATATTATATTATAGTATTTTAAGGCCCTTAAAGTATATATACTTTATATATATTATATACCCTTCCTATATACGCTTTAAAGGAAATTCTTCCCTTCTTTAAGCTTTAGTTTTATTAAATACCTATTATAAAACTAAAGAGATTTATAATATTATATTTAACCTTTAAGATTTAACCTACTTATAATAATTTTAAAGCTTTTTTTTAAGGTTATTTATAACGTTATTAATTATAATATATTTATATATAAATAAATAATTAAAGCTAACGCTTTTTTAGGAAATTTAAATTATAAAAAGTTTTTAATAATAGTTTAAGGATAAAGCTAATATAATTTATTTTTAGAAAAATAATAAACCTAAAATTAGCTATTAAAATCTCCTAATAACTTTAATTAAATAAATAAAGTTAATACTTAATTATTATAATAAATAAATACTTAACTTTTAATTAAAATTATAAAGTTAAAGAAATAATTTCTTAAAGAAAAGAAAGTTATTTAAAGTTTAAAGGTAACCTATACACCTTCCAAATTATATTTAAGTAAAAAAGGAAAGAATTTAAAAATATTAAATTTAAATAAATTAGGGTATTGTTTTAACCTTAACAATTTATAAACCCTTAATAATTAATAATATTATTAAAATTAAAAAAAGGGTAATTTTAATAATAATAACCCTTTATTATTTAATTTTAATATAAAGTATAATTAAAATAGTTATATATATTAATTATATTTAAAGTATATATATTATTATAAATGCTATTTCTTTAAAAAGGTTAATTTAAGCTAGCTTTTTAAGTTTAATTATAATTCCTTTAATATAAAGTTTACCTATTTAAAATAGTTAAAATAGGTAAAAGAATTAAAAACTATATTCTATAAAGCTAATTATAAGTTTAAAACTAATACCTTTAAAATTCTTTACATATATAATAAAATGGATAAGGATTATAAAAATATATATTAAATTATAAAAAAAAGGCTTAAATATATAAAAAAGAAGTAAATGGAATTTAATTAAAATATATTTTTAAATTAAATTAAAACCTTATTATATTAATCATTCTTCTTATAGGTTAATATTAATATATAATTTAAAAAAGCTATATAATATATTAATTAAAACTTAAAACTTTTTAATTAATACTTAATTAATATTAAAAGTTAAAATTTAAAATAAAGTAAAGGTAAAAGAGCTTTATTATATTATTAAAAATTAGGTAGACCTTTATAAAAGAAATTAATAAATTTCTATAACCTTTTATTAAAAACTAAAATTAAAATAATTAATATAATATAATAATGTTAAAAATTAATAAATAAGGATTAATAGGTTAATTATAAAAAAAAGAGGCTTAAATTAAAAAATATCTAAATTAATAATAAATAACTTATAAATATAAATTAAAGTTAAAGTAATAGTTAAGCTATTAATAATAATAATTATAAAAATAAATATAAAGAATATAATAATAATAGTTATAATAATAGTTTAAATTATAATTATATTAATAATTATAAAAGTAATAATAATAATAATAATAACTATTAAAGTAATAATAATAGTTATAGCTATTAAAGAAATAATAATAATAATTATTATTAATGTTTTTAAGGTTTTAATTATTAAAAAAACTATTAATTTAATAACTTTATTTTAAAAAGTTAACCCTTTTTAAAGCTCCTTTAAATTATTTATAAAGTAATAATAAAAATAAATTAAATTAAAAAAACTATAAAGGAGTAGTTTATTTTAATTATAGTTAATTAAGCTATATTACCTTAAATTATATTTAATTTAAACAAAACTGGAATCCTAACTATATAAGCTATATAATATAAAAATAAACTATTTAAAAAGTTTAAATAAATAAAAAGTAGGATAAGGTTAAAAATAAATAATAGTTATTATATTATTCTTATACCCCCCTTTTATTAAAATGCTATAATCCTTTAATATATAATAAATAATTAGGAAATAAACCGGAAGCTTAATACTTTTTAAATTAATAAAAAGCACCAAATTAAATTTACCCCTTTATATATCTATTATATATCGTTTTTACACCCTTTATATAATCCGTACATTTAGCTTAAAAAACCCCCCTTTATAAACTTATATTAACTTAGATTTTTATATTAAATATAATTATATTAGCTTTACTTTTATACTTTATTATAAATTAAAAAAAGCTCCTTTTTAAACCCCTTTATTATAATATATTATAAATAATAGTTTTCCATTATATAAAGCTTATTAAGTTATTTATAAATTAATTAATAATTATAATATTATTTATAAGTTTAAATATATATATATAGCTATTAATTATAATTATTGCTTAAAAGGTAACCTTATTTTATTATTTTAAATTACTTTAAAGGATTAAGGAATTATATTAAATTTAAATATAAATTATTAATTCTTTAAATTTAAAGCTTACTACTTTAAAATACTTACCTTATATTAATTTATAAAAGCTTATAAAAATAAACCATATTATTAAATAATTATTTAATTATTAAAATTAAAAGAATTAAAAGAATTAAAATTATATATATCTTATATAAGATTTAATAATATTTTATAGGAGTTTTATAACCTTATTAATTTCTTTAATATAAATAAAGCTAATATATTCCCCTATTTAAAAAAAGGTAATTTAATTATTAAACTTAAAAAAAATACTATAGTTCCCTATTATCCTATATACCCTTTAATATAAAATAAACTTAAAAAGCTATAAAAGTAGTTAAATAAAATGTTAAAGGTTAAAAAAATTAAAAAATTAATTAGTTTAATTAAAGTATTTATCCTTTTTATTTTTAAAAAAGATAAAGGCTTATACTTATATATAAATTATAAGGGATTTAATTATATTTTATATAAAAATTATTATACTTTACCCCTTATTTTAAAGCTATTAAATAAAATCTTTTAAATAAAAATATTTATAAAAGTTAACCTAAAGGACACCTATTATTATATTTATATTTAAAAGGGAAATAAATAAAAAACAGCCTTTTATATTTATTATAGCTATTATAAATTTTTAATTATACTTATAAGTTTATTAAATATTTCTATTACCTTTTAAAACTATATATAAAAGGCATTTAATAATATTTTAAATATTTTTTATATTATTTATTTAAATAATATCTTTATATTTTTTATAAATAAGGAATTATAACGCATCTCCCACTTAACCTGGCCACCCAATTGACCTGGCCACCCCCCTAGCCCATATAAATAACGTCGGTGCATTAATTACGTG